GATGAGGCGGTCTCTCTCCATGGTCCGCGCGCTCCCTATAGTCCCATTTCATGCGGCCACGCAGCGCGCTAGCCGCTGAGGCCGCCGAGTGCTGATGCGTCTACGTCGGAGTCCCACGGAGCAAAAATCTTTCCGTCGCGTAGCGTTCCGCTACTCCGCACGCCAAGCGCTCTGATTGGAGCGCGCTAACTACTCAAGTCGAGTATATAAGCAGAACGCTACATAATAGGAGGCTTTTTTCTTGTCGGACTCCGACGTGGTCGCGTCGGCACTCGGCAGTAGTAGTACGGACACGCACACATTTTATTTGGGATAGTCTACTGACTGTCTACATAGATGACACTTATACAATAGTTTACGTTGTCTACACGTAAACGTAGAATATTATATTTTACGCGTAGATGCACAACCCTGATATTAAGACGATACTTTGTATGATATCAGCTTTACCATTTAATATGTACTTGTATTAAAATCTTTAATTTAAAAAATACATATAATTAATTTATGTAATATGAAGTTTTGCGAGAAATAGAAAGAAAAAAAAGGCAAAAAAGAAAGAAGAATGTGGCATATATAATACACGATTAGCACGGACACGAATCACATTCTAATGCTATGATTTGATCGACAATGTTATGAGATAGACGTGGTACGTAGTTCCTTTTTTGAAAACGTGGACGTGGGGCGCTAATGTACGGAGGGAGATCGCCGGTCCCACCCAAAAAGCCGGCGTGGCCTCTCTCATGCTTCTCTCTGGCAATGATTTTACTGTTTCGGTGGCGGAATGAGATGCGTATCTTTGGAGGAAAAATTACGTCTCGTAATTATGATCGCGCCAGTTTCACGGAGGATCGACGGAGGAAATTGAACCGCGTGTTTCTGCACGGTTGTCATCCGAAAGGTACGTTCCGGTCGTCGGGGAAAAACGCTTCGGAAGAGTCCTAACCTAATTTTAACCTAATAAATCTTGCCGACGAGAAACGTAGATTCTTCATTATTGCAATTAACTCGTTATTTATTCGCGTACTAGGGGCCTCTTCGGTCTCAGAGTGAGCTCTTGCACTTGCTGACAGCGTCCCGGTGATCGTTCGTTCAGCCGAGCGATCGGTTAGAAATGGAGAAAAACGACGGTGACAACGGCGAGAGTGCGGCGGAGGTAGTGGTGGAGAACGAGCTTCCCTTCGGCAGCAACGAGAACATGATTGCGGTGATGAACGAGCTCCTGAGGCACGGACGTCAGGATCTGCCTTTCAACATGTTCCCCGGCTTGTCCACGACGGAGTGCCAGTCGAAAGTGGAGCAGGCGCTCCGTCTGGCTCATCTCGACGTCGGGGACAAGCCTACGTTGGTCGACTGGATACGCAGCGGTTTGTTCGAGGAGAACGAATGTAACGTACCTCTGGCCTTGTTGTTCATCGCGCTGTACGAGCAGCATCCGTTGCTGCACGAGAAGAACGTGGAATGCGACTACAGGTACAATTTAAAGAGCATCGTCCAAAGTTTCTCTTCATCTTCTGTTAATTATGTATCTGTGTTTAATTTTACGGTGCCGAAGGAACAGGAAAATTTTAAGTAAAAACTTCCATTTACTTTTAATTACACGTAGAGAAAATTTCCCATTTCTTCGGCTCTCATCAGGTATTATTCTATTTTTTTCTTCATTAATCTTCTGTTAATTATGTATATTTAATTTTACAGGGTCGAAGAAACGGGAAAATTTTAAGTAAAAATTTATATTTAATTTTAATTACACGTAGAGAAAATTTTCTGTTTCTTTGGCTCTTACTTTATGTATTATTCTATTTTCTCTTCATAAGTCTTCTATTAATTAGGTATGTTTAATTTTACAGAAGAAACAGGAAAATTTTAAGTAAAAACTTCTATTTAATTTTAATTACACATAGAGAAAATTTCCTGTTTCTTTGACTCTCACTCCATGTGTTATTCTATTTTTTCTTCATAAATCTTCTATTAATTAGGTATGTTTAATTTTACAGGGTCGAAGAAACAGGAAAATTTAAAGTAAAAACTTGGAAACTTTGCTCCAATTTAATTTTAATTACATATAGAGAACATTTCCTGTTTCTTTGGCTCTCACCATGCATTATTCTATTTTCTCTTTACAAATCTTCTATTAAATGTGTATATTTAATTTTTTTAATTCTGTAGGATAGGTAAAAGAAACAGGAAAATTTTAAAAGGTAAAATAAAAACTTGGAGATTTAATTCACTCAATTTTAATTACATGCTGAAAAAATTTCCCATTTCTTTGGCCCACCCTGTATTATTCTAATGTATATATAATTCTATTGTTAATATATATATTAAATAGCGTATAACATATATTATTTAATTTTCTCTGCTTCGTCTTAGGCATTTAAATTTTTCTCTGCACTTTAATTTTTGTGTTTATAAAATTACTGAATGATCGATGCATAATTTCCAGAGAATTGTACCACTTTCTCTATAAAGTGACGGCGAATCAGCCGGTGCCGTATCTCTCGCATAAGTCCGCGATCGTCCTACACAAACTGCTATCGGAATTAATAGACGAGGTGTGGCCGAACACGCAACCGGAGCTTCTTCAGTATCTAAGTAAAATACATATCTACAGCAGATCGCCAGTTAGAAGAACATATTCGCGAAAAAGTTAGTTTCTGCGTATTTCTTTATATTAATCCTTAGATACCTCCTTTATGATTTCGAATCTTAAAATTTTCTTCATAATACGTATAATTATTTCATCTTACTTACACACGCGATGTAAAAAGTGCGTATCCATCTGTACTTAATAATTATATTATTGTTTGCAAAACCGAAATGCGCTTTTGTCACAGAAGGGATACTTTTGCATTTTTTTTTTAAATAAACTTTTATTAAGCTTTTTGCAATTATTTTATAATATACAGTGTGTGTGCGTGTGTGTGTGTACAACATTGTGTGCACAATAATAATGTCGACAATATAAAAATCTTTAAAAAGCCTTCGCATTTACAACGTTACGTTTTTCAAAACGCTTGGGTATCTGAGGGTTAATTTTCATATTTATAATGCGGCTATTTAAGTAATAGTTGTCAATCATTTCAGGGACGCTGGACAAGAGCGCAGCGGAAAACCTTTCGCCCTAGATCTAAGGATTATATTAATTTTAGATTTACAATCTCTCGAATTCCCTCGAAAGTTCCTCGATTTTTTTTTTTAGAGCTTTTGGAGTTTGAATATTCATGAAAATATTACAAGACTCAAAAATAAATAATTATAATTGTTTTATATTTAAAAGTTGATAATTATATTACTGACGATATAATTATAACTTTATAATTTTTATTAATAATTATATTTATTACTCTTGCATTACGAATTACTGAACGAAATTACACCCTATTTTACGAGGATGGGTCACTTGATGAAGAAACGACATATCACGTGTTAAGGGCACGTATTCGTCCTCGCACTTTAATTCTCTTTAATACTCGTTAAAGTTAACATATACCAATATCCTCATTCCCTAATTCGCGCTAATGATATCAGAGTCAATTATTCAATATCTCCCAGGCGTCGTCCTCCGCTTTCGAGTTCCAATTCTGTGCCTTATTGTCCGTTTCGAAATTGATCAGCGATTCTTCCTTCCTCTCCGCCTTCGGTTGCCTCTTCGACATTACCGTCGTCTTGCTCGTTTGTTTCGCGTCGTTGCCCCAATCCCAATCGCAGTTCGAGGTGTTGGAGGAATCTCCAGCGGAAATGTTGCTTCTGAAACAGGCAACGAATAAATTTCGTAAGATCGAAACTGTACTTGCATTCCGCAGCGCGGACTTGTTCATAAAACAGACGATCTAAAAATGAAATTTTTATTTTTACGTGTATCGTTTAGAAGGTACGTACTTGGAACTGGAGCTTCTTACAAGGGATGATTTTTCGTTGGAGCGATTCGAGTGTATTGGATCGTTATTCTGATACGTGTCGGAGGACTGATATCGGTCCATGGAATCGTACTGCCTTTGTTGTTCCGCTGAATTGGTCCCAGCAATGTCACCCCATCCTCCCCGTCTCGTTATATCCCCAACCTGTGTGAGTATTTTCATTTGTCTCAAAATTTCTTTCTCGTGTGTGACTATATAAAATAAGATTACAAAGATCTGTCTTATAACTTAGGATGACGGTAATTGACAGTCTGATCTTAGTGAGGACTAATATAATGTCAGTAATAATAGAACAGAAAGAGCAAACGAAAGAACTTGTACCTTTGTAACCAAATGATTGACCTGGGCCCCTACGTCCTCTAATAGTGTGCCGTCACGAACCTAATGGCGTAATACAAAGTAAAAAGATGAACGAAATAAAAATGTTTTAAAAATAAGAATTAATTATAAACGTGATAGAAAAAAAAATTTTTTTAAAATTATAAATATGATAGAAGGGAAATTAATGAAAATAATTCATAATCGATGTCTTTTTGCGTTTGTGGTCTATGCATGTGGTGATTCTAACAATCGGAGATAGATAGATGAGTAAAGGTACAGAGATTGAACGATGAGCTGCCATGATTAATTTTTAATCTCTAATCGATTTTACACTCGAGAATCCTTTCGCGGAAACATGTACACTTGCCTTTTGCGTCGCGAGTCCTCCGATCTTGATTGCGTTCTCGGTAGCTTTGCTCGCTATTTTCGACGCCGAGGAAGAGAATATTGACCAGCCCTGCAACAGCAGGAAATAATAGCTTAATTCGTATTATAATTGTAAATTACGGTTCAGTGAATGTTAAGGAGGACGTACAGACGCCAGGGACGATACTGCGGTGTCGAACAATTCCTGGGACGAGCTTTTGGGTGGTGGATCCATCTGATAGCCGAAGCCACCGTATTTACCGCCTTGATTTGGTGGGACATTACTGGAAAGACAGAACGTAATTGTAACCACTTGTCCCGTCTTAACGCACGCATTCGCACCACAATATTACAATTTTTCACAAGCTCTGCCAATATTTGAAACTTATTCACTCTCTCTCGTTTGTTCGGGGAGCACGCTGTCAGCGCTTTTATGCCCTTGTTTGTGTCTAATGAAAATGGCATAATAGCGCGCTGACAGCGCGGCTGCCCGAGCAATTAAGGATGCGACCTTAATTGTTCGGTGTTCCACAATATGTTGATTAAATGTTGCGACACGTTGTCTAGATCTAGAAAATAGAAGAATAGAGGCTTACTCTGGACGATTGGCGTTCTCGTTCTGCTTCCTCGCAAAGAAGAATTCCGTCTGCACCTTCAGATTATTCGTGTCCATATTCTGATAAGAGGTGGACAGGTCGCTCTGGTACGAGTGCTCCTGTTTATTTCGGATGAACGACGAGGACTGGAAGTCCTTCGCCATCGAACTGCTCGGACTCCAGGGCTCTCCTCTCGCCAACGTAGCGATCTGAGCGAGGAAGACATATGTATGTACATTTAAATGACCAAAAGCGGCTGTCGATGGTATCGAGTGTATACATACATGAAAGAAAGAAACCTTTCCTACCTTGTCCCTGTACAACGCCGCCGCCTTCGTGTTGTAACGCTGCGAGATGGACATGGACTCGTCCCAGTCGGGCTGGCCCTCGAAGAACTCACGGGCGTTCCTGTTGCCGCCGACCTTCATCTTCTCCAGCTCCACGTCCTTCCACTTGTCCATCGAGATGGAGCGGACGAACGACAGGTGTACACCCAGGCCGCGATGCTTGCCGGAGCACTCCAGGCATATCCAAATGCCGTACGTCACGGACACCCATTGCGGATTGTGGCTGCCGCACTCGAAGCACCTCTGCAAGACGCACAAGCACACGTGAATCTCTCACGAAAGTCTCGTGAATGAGGTAAGAAGCTGTTTTTACTTTCCTATCATTATATTAATATAATAAATATTGCTCACGACAGATATTGTCGAGATAAATGATGGAAATTAACATTTGTCGAAAAAAAAGTATAGGAGCATTGAAATTTGGAAAAAGAATTTGAAAGACCTGATACGTATATATAATGGGTTTCACTCAAATTTTTATCCTCGCGAAAAGCGAGAGGAGAAAGCACTTGATCTATCGACACTTCTTAATCCCGCTTTTCGAGCGGGCTTACATTGTTCTCGTCCCTCGGCTTCAATTCGCTCAGCACTCGTCGCGTCCGCGGACTGGCCATGGTCACATCGGTCGGTCGTCAAATCGAAGGCCCTCTGAAGCACAGCGAACGGGGGGATGATATCGGGGGTGACTGCCTATGTATATCAAAATCTGAAGGATTGCGATGGAAGCACGGCGGGGATCCTCCTCGCGTCTGCAGATCGCGCGAGGGTCACGATGACTGCAGATGCGGAAGAGATAAATAAAAAGGGGGAGAAAAGATAACAGCCGGAGGGCGCGTCGCGCGAGATCGTAAATCGTGTGTGAGTTAGTAAATACCTCGCGGCTAACTGCAGTTAGCTTCGATTCGACGCGCGTGAAGGCGATCGGGGAGCGGTGCTCGGCGGCGGTCGAAACGTGGGAAGTTCATCGCGCGAGTCCCACACGAGAAGCTGCGAGAACTTCGGGGTGCCGCGGGCGCTCGTTTTACGATCTCACGTCAGTTTACCGCGCGCGAGGCGAGGCGATAAGGCGTGTGTGTTCACCTCCTCGAGAGACTACGAGGTCATATCGGAACGATGTACGGTCCTGCTTCTTCCGGGATGACGGGACGATCGGGAGGATCGGATCCTACGTGGACATATTGAAGCAGCCGAAGTCGGACACGATTTTTGCGCCAGTGGGGGACTGGCGTTGCCGCGATTGACGTCACGCGGATAAGTTAGGTTAGGTCGAGTCGTCGTTGGAGTCGTTGGAGAGGCGGACGCGTGGCAGACGCGCGGCAGATCGCCCGGGAAATTTCCAACTTGTGCGGATTCCCCGTTTCCCTCGATCTCTCGTAAGTACAATTCAATGGTCTCATTTATGCGAGATTTATTTGTCGCGTGACGATTTAATGAGATAGCATGTCGACGTCGCTTGATAAGCTGATACTGCTGATAGTAGATCAACTTGACCGTATAAATTTCGTCGAAGCAAATCTTCAATTAACAGACATTTAATGTTGAAACGTAGGAATTATATATTGATCACCTCTTATTTTGAGTATTAAATTAAAGTACTGAACAACACCCGCTTTTAATCTTTTAAAATAAGTAATTTATTGTGTCTAGTACGTCAGGAAAGACGTGTATCTCGTTTTATACCTCCACGGGAAAAAATCGCGGGGAGCACAAATTCGGGGCTCGTATTAATTATTATTGGAGTCAGCAAATACAAGGGGAGCTCAAAAGAGTTTTCTTCCCCAAACCACACTCATTGAAACACTCGTCACGTATCGATATCTGTTATAATTGTGTCTTGAATTATATCTTTGAATTATTGTGAATGATCACAAAATAACGAAAATAAGCGGCATATCGAGAATCGTGAAGAAGGTAGGGTAACTGTCCCTATTAGTGCAGCTTTTATATTTAAATAAGTCATAAAAATAAATGGCACAAATAAATAAAGTATTTTTTTTATTAAGTTAATACTTTAACTTAATAAAAAAAAATACTTTGTCTATTTATTTGTACCATTTATTTTTATGACTTATTTAAATATAAAAGCACACTAATAGGTCCCTACTTATTAGTGCTTTTATATTTAAATAAGTCATAAAAATAAATTGATACAAATAAATAGACAAAGTATTTTTTTTTATTAAGTTAAAGTATTAACTTAATAAAAATTCTATTTATTTGTATCAATTTATTTTTATGACTTATTTAAATATAACAGCACTAATAAGTAGGGACCTATTAGTGTGCCTTTATATTTAAATAAGTCATAAAAATAAATGGTACAAATAAATAGACAAAGTATTTTTTTTATTAAGTTAATACTTTAACTTAATAAAAAAAAATACTTTGTCTATTTATTTGTATCAGTTTATTTTTATGACTTATTTAAATATAAAAGCACTAATAAGTAGGGACAGTTACCCTATTTGTAGTTGCTTCAGACAAATTAGAGAGGAATTTACAGCATTTTGCAGTTTCTGGACATATAACTTTATTTCGGAAACTTAGGCGCGTTTTTACTGAGAATAATAATTAAATATTTTGTCAATGTATAAAAATATTGAACAACCAGAGAGAAAGAGAGAAATATTACAGACTTGATTTAAAAGAGAGAATAAAACGTATCTTATTATGCGAGTGACTTATATATTTTTGGTTATTATATTATTACGCGTTAATATGTTATATAGATAACTAATCAAAATAGTGGCGACGGGTGCATATAAATAAAACATTAATATAATAAATATATATTTTAAAATACATATTAGGACATTATCGTAAATTAGAGGAAATATATTATAATAACAATAATTCTACTATAATTCTTATAATAACGTATGTAAGAAAATTTAGGCATAAAATACGTGAAGAAAAAATTAAACGTTATTACTTGAAATGCGCATTATACTGCTCACATATACACATATAGTAAAATGCATTTAATACATTTTCAAAGTCGCAAAATTAACACAGATCTACAAGCGATACAATCGTCTACAACAGGATTTCCCAATCTTTTGTGAATCGCGATCCATTTTTTTACAACAGCAAACTCCGCGACTCATTCAGCTTTAGTGGATGCGGAAAAAACGGGAAGGGGATGAGAATTGATTATTTTATTACTTTATTTTACCGAGCTCCCTTTTTAACTTCTTACTAAATATATTACTTTGAGATTTTATTAAATTTATTTTTCAGATATATAAGACGATGTATTATGTGAAGAATGCCCTTGTTTTCTATCTCTATTAATAACAGCCTTAAAATCGAAACATAATAAAATTTTTCGCGACCCACACTTTGAGAATCCCTGCAGGTCTACAATTTAACGCTTTCAATTCTTTCTTTTTTTTTTACTTTGCCGAAGACAGGAGTTTCCTATAAATATTAACTTAAGACTCCCGAAGATCTCATATACGTATTCAATATTTTACGGTGTAACACTTACACAATAAATGACAAGTAAAACTAAAGCTTATTTACAATTGTCGGTAGCCAAGGCGGACTAGAACAAAGCACACTAATAAGATGGCTAATGAAGCGGGAGGTGAGCCGGCGATCGCGCCGCTCGCCTTCCAGCAGACGTCCAGCTTGCAGTTGGACGCCAGCTGGCCGAACCTGCTCTTCAGGAAGTCCAAGTCGCAAAGGCCCACCTGGCAGCCCTCGAACCGCACTGGTTTCTCCGCGAGATAAAACATTACTTTATTGCGGTTGTTACCATAATCGGTGCACCTGCAATACATTTTTTTTTATAAAGATTAGAATTTGTTAATATTTACGGTGAAGTGAGATTTCTATTATGTAACAGAGCTTAAAGCTGACCAACTGAATTTGATTATTTTACCGAAGATAATCATAATTATTTTCAATTACTTATAATTTAATTGATTTGAAAATCATAATTTAACTGATTTATTTTTATTAAAGTCAATATGACTGAAGCCAACTTTGATTAATAATAATTAATTAATTAATTAACTTGGCTTCATTCAGTTTGCCTTCTTATAATTTAATTGATTTGAAAATCATAATTTAACTGATTTATTTTTATTAAAGTCAATATGATTGAAGTCAACTTTGATTAATGATAATAAATAAATAAATTAACTTGGCTTCATTCAGTTTGCCTACTTTATGACAAATCTAAGATGTCTTAACTTACTTTAGCTTCTTGAAGAAAGATACAATTTACAAAATTTTAAATATCAAGTAAAAAGAAGACGAACACATTTTATAAGTAAAACCGTAGGGAAAATAGCGGAATCAAGATTTTACGTCCAAAAACGAAAAATTTTAAGTCCGAAAAAAATTTACAAGATTATTACTTTAAAAAAGTGCTTCAATTTAAAGCGATTAAATAACTTGGCTTGACTGTGAAATTAAAATCGATCGAATCGAGATAAATTATAATAATTAATTTTCGAAAAAGAAATAGAAAATAAAAGATAATGAATGCGGGATAAGGGATAAGAGCGTATATATTCACTTGTAAAACACCGCGACAAGATTCGCGGCGAAGGACGATATTATTGACGTGCGCCATTGACGTCTAGCCATGTCTCTGTAATTGTAGGCAGTCAGTCGCGTCTGATCTTCATTTATGCCCATCGTGGCCAGGAGATTTTGCAGGCTGACGATGTCGCTGAAGTAGAAGATGCCCGTGGGTTCGCCCGTCATTTCGTTGCGCTCTACGTTCCTAATGAAAAAAAAATATAAATACTTCTAAACTCTTCCATCTCTTTTCTTACAATTAGATCACAAAAAAGTATATACAGTATACCAATATCCACATTTTAAGCACTATCTTTTAACGACTGTTTCTTCTAAAAAGTAAAAAAAAAATCGCGACTCAATAGGCTAAATATCAGACATTTAGCCTATTGAATCACGTTTTTTATTTTTTACTTTTTTAGTAAGAAATGATAAATTTTAACAGAATTCTCATAATTCGCGGGGAAACGAGACTTGTTATGTGTCATTATACCAGAAGTGTTTCATCATGTCGTGCAACAGAGGACATCCCAAACGCGTGTTGATATCTCGCCCGTAGCCCGCTTTGTAATAGTAATCGAGGTCCTCCCTGTACTCAAGTATGCGGAGCTCCTCCTTGCTGAAGACGGCGCACCAGGGTGACAGTTCGGTGACGGACCAGGCTTTCTGGTATCGACACGCGTCGTACATAGCGTCGATCATATCTAGAAATATCCGGGCGTTAATGCCGATTGTCGCGACATGTAATGGAATCAAGAATCTAATGTTCAAAAACAAAAAAATTCCAAGTCCGAAAATATTTGTAGTTACAAGATTACTTAGCTAGGCGCTCCAATTTAAAGCGATTAAATAACTTGGCTTGACTGTGAAATTAAAATCGATCGAATCGAGATAAATTATAATAAGTGTTCAAATTTTTCATCCGCGGAAGAATTGCCGACAATTGTATATATATGTGTACATTGCCGCAGTCCAAAAAGATTTCCGGACCAAATTTATTGTTAACAATTCAATATTTAACCTCTGTGAACGTACCAGTGGAAGTATTGTACAGAAATCCGAGTCGTCTGCTGACGTTCTTCAAGAGATTCTGGAACTCCGGTTCATTGTTGAATCTGTTGCGTTCTACATTCTCGAACGATCCCTCGTTCTCCTCGTTTTTCCACACGCCGCAAGTTTTGTACGCCTACAAGATTAATTGATGTTAGATAGACTGAAATAAACTAGGGCAATTCGATTCTAAACGAAATATAAACAAATAAATATAAGAAAACGAAATTCATTATCTTTTGATAGGTTATTCGGTTTCTAAAAGAAGTATCTGCGAAGTTCGAAAACATTTTTCTCGAATTTGTGTTCAAGTTTTAAATTTATTGATCGAAACTTTGGTTTTCGAAACGTTGGTTTGTCATATTCTTCTATTCGTGCTAGATTATTCTTTAAATTCTTTTGCCTCCTCTCTTTCTCTCTCTCTCTTTCTTTCTCAAAAAGAAATGATATTTTATTTGAAATAGCATATTTGAAAAAGCCTGTTTACATTAAAAAATCGATTATGCACTCTCTAAATTTTCTGGAGTGAATTTTTTACTTTTTTGGAGTCAATCTCACTCCAGAAAATTTAGAGAGCAGTACACAGGATATTTCAATAACTAACTTTTTATTTTACATTATTTTTGTGCTTATGAATGACGGATATGCAAATATACTTAAGGACAATGCCAAACGATTCGATTTATGGTATATTAAAATATTAATTGTCTTTTTTGTGTAAATATTTGTTTATTGAAATTTTACGAGATTGGCTTTTATAAGTCATAATGCGTTATTTGTAAATCTTTGAATCTCTTAATGTAGCGCACAATTAAAATGAATACTTACGCTAAGTAAAGTGTCGTTGAGGGAACTCTCTTCTATCACGTGCCTGCTGCTGAACAGCCCTTCCATAAAAGCCATCATACTGTCGCGAGCCTCGGTAGCGCGGAACTGAAAAATCAATCGCGTCCTATATATCGCCTCGACCGCGCTTCGTGATTTACTCGATATCTATCGACATTCGCTTAATGGAATCTAATAGCTTAATTAACGCCTGCACTATATTGACGATCTGTAAATCGCGATTTGGAATTTAAGAGATAAAGCTCTATTTATAATTAAATACACCATCACGTAATGCGAACTTTATTATATTACATTTGAAGAGTCAGAGAAATTTGGCTTAATGGACTTAAATTTGTCCAATGGAATCTATCTATTTAATGAACGCCCACTTTGGATGATCTATAATTCGCGTTGAAATTTAAGGTAAAATTCTACTTGTAATTTAATCGCGTAAATACGAAACACATTTGAAAAAGAAAAATATACACGAAAGGAACGATTTTGCTGGAAAGTGTCTAGAAATGTTGCTGGATTCAGATCTGAAAATAATTTTATTCGACTGTCAAAATAATTTTGCTGGAAACTCAAAAATGATGAGCATTTCTGCAAAACATTTTGATATTCTAGCAACCAGTTTGAATTGCCAACAAAATTATTTTCAGGTTTGTACCCAGCAAAATTTTTAAATTTCCTAGCAAAATCGTTCTTTCCGTGCACATGTAAAAAAATACTATATTTATTGAAATTGTACATCAAAATATGCGGCGTACAAATGGAATTTTATTCTGAGATTTAACGCGATTTATATCGGGTCGTTCGAAGTGGTCTCGAACTGACATCGATACGATAATTGGGAACGGATAATACCTTGTAATTGGCAGCCGTAATGTTGAAACTGTTGGGCTGCAGCAGCTCCGGGAAATTGCTCTGCAATCTTCTTGCCAGCAGCTTCATGTCCTCCACCCCCTGCGGCGTCAGGACTTCCGCCCGTTGCGGCGACAGGTATTCGTCCGGCTTCCATCTTCGCAGGTTGTCCAGATCTCGACTGCACATGTGACCCTCTGCGCGGCGATAAACGGGAACGTTTTTATGATCGTTTCGAAAATCGGACGGGGAAAAATAAGTACGTGCAAATTGGCTAGTTAAACGCGACAAAACCGTCGGCGTTTATCATAATTTTCGCAAGTTTCTACGAAAACAAACGCTGAATCGTTACATCCGCGTCCGTAATTACGAAAGTTTCAAGCTTAAAGTCCCACGAGGTGAATGTCTTTTACAACCGAGGATTACATAGCGGCACAATCATTACAAAGCAGTACGACTTTTTTGGTCGAGATATGGATTTTGTGGAATGTTCGCGTTTCTAAGCTTTAATGATTTTTGGAAATGTGTAGAGAAAATTGGAGACTTTCTAATTAACATAAATCCATAATTTAAGACATACAAGATTTTACGACATAAATTTTATGTCGCTTAGGAAGAGTCATATAGGAAAAAATATATCAATTTATAAAAATTGATAATTATATATATTAATATAATTTATTACAAAAAAATATATAAATCTAATATTTGAGTTATGAAATATATGAAATATATATTTCGTATTTTTAATTTTTAATTTCTTCACACTGTTTTAAAGTTTTCTTTCTAACCAAAATCTTGCAAAATTACGAAATGTTTTAAACAGCATTTAACGAAACGAGGAAAATATTGCTGAATTCTATACAATTTTTAAGATGATCTAAAAATTATTGGTACAATATTTAATGTCTATACATTTAGTGAATTTATGCGCAATAAAATATGAGGAGAAAGGAACGGAAAACAATCCGTGTAAGACAACAGAAGAAAAGGAGAAAGTTAACTTTACATAAGAGGTGTAAAAAAAATTCAGACGGTATAGGGAAGAGGAGGTTGACTTACCTTTGCGCGTATCATGATTCTGGATGATCTGCTCTTTGAGATTAGTTAAGGAGACGATCTTTTCGATCTCGTGCATGTTCGGGCAACGGGTGCCGTGTGCCGCGAGCATCCAGATTTGCACCGGTCGGCAATCTGTCGAACGGAAACATAATTACAATTGCAACCTTATATTTTTTCCACCGTGCGCCAATATCGACGTACAAACAGAATCGTGTCCCATCGTTCGAAATTACAGATTAAAATATAGAAATAAATTCTTTATCGATGATTGTTGATTAATATAAAAAAAATAAAATAAAAACGTCATTATCGGACAAAATTGATATTCATTATAAGAGGCTTTATAAGAATATATTTATATTTCGTCGACTTTTTTTTCTTTTCATCTATTCTTGGACTTTTTAAGCAGGCCGTTTTAAGCGCGCATGGAAAGAACAATTTTGTTGAAAAGTTTAAAAATTTTGCTGAATACAGATCTGAAAATAATTTTTGTTCAATAGATCAAAATAATTTGTTAAAAATGATAAGCATTGCTATAAAAACGTTTTGATATTCTAGCAATCATTTTAACTTTCCAACAAAATTATTTTGATTTTTGAACAAAAGTTATTTTCTGATCTTCGGATCCAGCAAAATTGTTCTTTCCGTGCGCCGTGGTCGTTTCGAAGATCAAGTCGATCCGACTCTTTTATGATTATTTTTATCAATGTAGATCATCTTAATCTCGGTTTAATTTGCTCTTTACCCTTTCTCTAATTTTTATAACCAGAGAAAAATGAAACGTGAGTTAAACCGAGATTAAAGTTAATACAATTGAAAGTCTATACAATTGAAATGAACATTAGTCATATACTTAAGAACTATTGAAAGAAGAATTAGTCATACTTACGCGGTATCGTCTGTAAACGGCCGCCGTGAACGAAGTGATAGGCGGTCTTCGTGCCCATGTACAGATACGGTTCACCCTCGTCCGCGAAGCAGAAATCGACATCGCGTGCGAGCACGTGGACGCTCAGTGAGGCCAGGAGCGACACGGACAACAATAGCAACAATGCGGACATCATGCGGTGAAAGTCGCCGGTCCCGCGATAAGAATAATAATAAGGATGATAACTCTCTGTCAACGAAGTAAAATGGAATTAGCCACATCCGATGTGAAAATCAAGAGAATGTACATGTATAGGAGTCCCTAATCGCGACGAATTGTCTAAACCGGAATTACAAAATTTCTTTTTAGGGCTTCGATTTAATTAAGTGGAAAAGGCTCTGAAGAATTGAAGAATTGGTAGGATAGCGCATGTTTTATGTATAGCGAGTTATTAGTTATAAAATCAGTAACGAAGTAACATGCATAAATTAATTATATAACAAAAGATACCCTGGTGAACATTTTTTTTTAGAATTTTTATATAAATTTCAGAATTTTCACAATTTCTATATAATTTTATAATTTTTAGAATTGAAAAAAATTTTGTGTTAAATACGAATTGGAACACTTTTCAAAAAAATACTGACAAAGTCTAAATTTTTTAAAATTCTTTACATTATAAATTCTAAAATATTCTACAATCTATATAATTTCTAAGAAAACTTATAAAATCTGAATAAATTTAAGATATCTACATATTTTTTTAAAGAAATCTTCATAAATGCAAAATACGAAGAATTCTTGAAAATATAAGTTATTATGAAAATTTTTTTTAACGCAAATCATTGTATATTGATAATATTTAGAAACATATTTCCGACATGTCATTTTTTTACTATTCAGCATTTAACACTTGTATTCAAAGTGGCAGATAATACTTAATTTACCTTCGCTCCCACAATAATTTGTTGCAGCAAGTTTAAAACAATAAGTATAATACCACGAGTTTTGCAGTTTATTTAAATAACGCTGTACAAAAGTTTTGCAATATATTCAGATAATACAGCTCAAGTTTCGCAAGTTTAGATGATGCCGCAAAGTCCGTGGAGTTTCCCGCGAAAATTTCACGCTTGAAATATATTCTCGGCCGTTAATTTCTCGCGCCCGATTTCGACGGCGCGCTGGGTTATCCGGGGGAGGGGGGGGGGCGGAGGCGGCCGCGAGGGACCTCCTTCGTGGAAAAAGCGATTTTCCTTTCGCGTTCCGCGGACCGTCGTAAACCTACATTTCGCCGCCGCTGTCGGCTCGGCTGACGACATCGCGGAATGTAATTTATTACTAACTCGAGGAGAGCTAGCGTAACGCGGCGTATAGCCTGCTCCGCGGCGGCGGGATTACATAACCGGAAGTGTGTTCGCACGTATTCCCGCTCGTATATTTGCGCCGAGACCTGCCGCGCGCCGCGCAGGACGAAGTATTAACGCGATAAATTAGCGGAAAGACGATAATCCGCGCGGCGAAACGTGCGGACCCGCGATAATCGCCGGGAGCGGGTCACCGCGACACGGTTACCTCAATATCGGTGCCTCAAACTTAATTCTTTCTTATCTTAACTCCTTTATACCTTCGATCTCTCTTAAATCGTCCAGTACGTTACGCTATAAGTCTCCGCGAGACTTGAGAAACGCGCGATTTCGACGAGCGCGAACAAAAGGAAGGCTCGAAGAGGAAGAGACTTCAACGAGAATTCGAAGGGGGCTCTTGGTCCCCCTTGATCTCCCCTGGAGGATCCAACTTCCGTGGCGGGCTGACATCTCGTGTCTCACGCGGAGGAGAGATAGAACGCGAAGGCCAAGGCCGACGCCGATGAAAGAGAGACGCGGGCGCGATAGTAAAATTGCGCCGTGCGCGAGTTACACAATGTACACACAATGGTGTAGGTATACGTGAGAGAGAAACCGGTTTCAGGGCTCTACCGCGCGAGGCTGACGAGATAGAACAGCCACACATGGTGTATACGTATATGTATCTATCCGTACATACGTCTTCGGTCGATCTTGCGGAGCGATCGACGCCTCACGTACACTTCGCGGTCCAGAAATAGCCTGGGACGTAATATAGTTGACGATAATGTAATTGGCAAACGGCGCGGTTTAGCGGTGCGGACTTCTTCTTTCGCTTCTTCTACACACGGCCGCGCCATGCAGCGTGTATATGCGGCCGTCACATACTTGGCCTACTTATGCTTAATTTCTTCGGCGTGTTCGCGAGCACCACGCAAGTGCCGCCGCGCCGCCGCCGTCGCTTCTAACGTCGGGTCTGCAATCTCGTTTCAATGCGAAATCCATTACGCGCCCGCTGCGCCTCTCTCAAGGCGCTGTCTTCAACGATAGCGTGTAATATGCGCTCGCGGCTTCGGCATGAGGAAGAATATTTGCGATTTGTTACAAATAGAAGTTATATTTGTGGAGAACATATATACGTATGATTTAGCCAATTATTATACAGTGACGAATGTCGATTATGTATTATTACGAAAGGATTGAGTTATAGGAAATGAGTCACAGAGTAATTTTCCTACCTGGAATCCATTATTTCCTAGATTTCTGTTGTGTTCTCTAGGGAAAACAGAATAATTCCAACCACGGAATACATACCCCTGGTCCTCGGAATTCCCCAAGTAATTCAGCAAGTTCGAGACTTGACTTTGAATTGAACGAAAGAAAAATTGCTGCAAACATTGGATCAGTCTAAAGCACGGATCAATCTTGGATAAATTTAATCAGTAGTAAACTCGATTAGGATCAGAATTTAACGTTGATCGACTGGGATAAAATTATTTAAATTATTATAACAAATTGACGGGAAGATCAGAATGAATAATTCATCAAGAAAGAGAAAAGAAATACTAGGATAGGTTTTGCGAGAAGCGATTCAATTGAGAGTGAAGGAAAATTGGATAATAAAATACAGAAAATGAGATCTCTCAGCGGCAAATGTAAATGACATTAAACCAGGAGGCGCGTGGTTTCAAATGAATAGCTTTGTATGCAGTGTGGAATATTACTGATGACATTGTACTTTAGAAAGGCGTGCGCAGTTCATATCGAAGAGATATGAATATTCATATTGAAGAAAATGCAGCCACCGCCGCCGCCGCCGGCCGGACAGATGACGATAGGAATGTGCAACGTGTAGATATACAGCTGACGTGATGTGCTCCGACGCGCGCGAGAGAGGACATTCATCGCGATGACGGGGAAGGAATTGTCAACTACGTGGCGCGATTATTATTTGTCGTGTTTATGAACAAACAAGCAGATTGCCAACTACCGAACGGTCATCGCGTAATGGGAGCGATGTTACGAAATAATCGAAACGTCGGCGTTTTACGTCGCGAAACGACAAGGATATATGAGAGAAGAGTATATATAGTATATATGGTACATTAAATTTACACGCGTTATTCAACGCGATCCTTCGCGAATTTTTCATCGATTGACCTTTGATATACTCTGCGAAGGATTGTAAAGTTTCCCTTGGTTGCCACTGTTGTGCGTCTAGATAGATGTATCTGTTACGATTTCTAAAGTCCTTGAGTCTCTCTTTAGATTCCGGGAAATTATTAGTGTCATTTTATTGTGGCTCTTTCCTGTGGAAACTTTTCTTAGAATTCTTCGTATTTTCCCCGAGTTTCTAATAAATTTTAGAATTTTTCTATACAACTTTATAACCCTCTAGAAAATTTCTCAGATTTTTTTTGTACGAGTTGGAACACTTTTCGGAAGCGCTGAGAAAGCTCTACATCTTTTCTAGAATTATATATATATAGGTATATATATATATATATATATATATATATGTATATATATTTAAATTTTGAAATATTTTAAGATTTTGTATTCCATAATTTTTGAAGAAAACTTATAAAATCTCTGAAGATATTTTTATAAATCTTTATAAATTGAAAATTTAAAAAATTATTAAAAATATTGAATATTGCGTGAATTTTTTTTGAGAATTGCGCACGACATTCTCTTAGAGCCACTCACGAATTTTCCGAAATTCACCCTCAGCTTTCTGCAATGCCTCGCGGAGTTGTTTCTTTTGCAATCACGGAGCATCTATATTTTTCGATTAAGTCAAGTGTTTTCCAGCCAGGGATTCCCTTCCGATTGCGGGACATCACGCGCGGCAATAAACGTCGAAACGATAGACGCGGCGCTCGGTCGCGACAATTGTTCACGAAAGTAGGACGACGACGTTGGTCACGCTCGATGGTTCTCAGTGCAGGAGAGCAGCGGTAATTATTCGCATTTTGCGCGCGTGTTCATTTCGCCTCCAGTGAAATCCCGGCTCGGTATCGACGCGGCCCGGCGATCGGCGGTTCCCTCAATGAATTACGACGTCGAAAACAAGCTTGGCGGCGCACATTCGCGGCGCCAAGTTGCGCGGATTCGAAAGAGAGAGTAGATATCATCAAATGAAAGAGAAAGACAGAGAAAAAGAGGGAGATGCACGATTCATCGCGCAATATTTAATCAGGAGCGTGAATTAAATAATTATTTCTCGCGTGCGTTGAAGCGCGGTATGGTAATGCCATACGTTACTTGGAGGTCGCGAGCGTTTCCGCCCATGATTAATTCATCGCCCATCCGTGAATGTAAGAGAGGCATTTGAAGAATTTTGAATAGGCTTTAAAAAATTGATATAGCGAGATCTCAATTTCGGAGCCGTTTTAAGCCGCGGATCACGGGAACCTTGCGGAAAATAGTTTATTGATTACGAATTTTTGATAGCTGATATGAAAAAAAATAAAAAGGCGGAAGAACATTTCGGTGAAGTATTCGAAGTTCAGCTGTACAAACATTGTCTCTGGCGTTTAAAAGTTCAATAATTATCATTTATGATCTCCGGGCCTTACAAATTCACGTAAAATTCATTATAAATTTCATTGTAAATTTATTATGAATTCATTATTTATTATTAAATTTTATTGTAAAATTCAAACTCGAACGATCGAGAGTTGTAGTGTGATTCACAAAAATATCAATTTGAGATCTAAAAATTAGGATTAATAATTCAATTTTGCGATCAAGTTAGATCGTATTTAATTTAAGATCACAGAGTTAGAAATAGAAGTTTAAAGGTTTCTGAAATAAATATAAACGGATATTTTAATAATTCCGTCCTCTGATCTCCTTCTTTAGGAGATATTCCATCCTCTTTTTTGATACAAACTCGAAATCTTCACGGATAAACACGACTCGGGGAGCGAACTTTAAACGGTATTTATTTCACCTCGTTTCTATCAAGATATCGATCCATCAAGATTGATTCACGCGGATACCACCTTAACCGGATATGTCTTGTTTATCTTCGTTCGTTAATGTATTCCCCGATACGCCCCTAAATTCTTTGACCTATTTCCCGGAGTATAGCTTCTACGAATGTTAAAAGTTGACTGTCAAACTCGACCACCGGTGGCACGCAATTCAAACATTTATTATGCAACGGAATGTGTTCCGAATATTAGAACCATTCTAAGTTTATTAGTATATCATTAACATCTCTCTGCTTATTAAAAGTAAGTACAATTGAAACGGTCATTACGTTTCGTTAACGATGATCGAATCAACCTCGAGAACTCGTGGTTGATCGCTATACGTACGAGATCCGGAAGGAGCGCTCGCGAAGGAGCGGAGAAGAAGTATCCAAGAGGAGTATCCGGAACGCCGGAGAATGGAGAGGCGGCTCCAGGGTTTAGAAGCCCGACACTTGGAGGTTCAAGGCGGCGGATGCGGTCGATCGGGCCTGAGACGCGAGAGAGTAGCCTGCCTCAGTCTCGACGGAGGACCGAATTGCGGCAAATTGCGACACGGACGTATCGACGGGCGGAGAGGACGGGTGGAAGAGGGGGGGTGGGGGCGGTGGAGGCCACCACCGACTTTGTAAATAACGTAAATAAACGTGCGCGCACCTTCGCGGATCGCGAGGTAGGAAAAACAGCCGTTCTCGTATACAAGCCGCCCCGTTCGCCGCGGCGGTTCGTGTGGTACTGCTGGCCGGCGCGGCGGCGGCGGCGAGCGCGAGGTCGTCGAGCCTCGTTTTGCCTCCTAGGTAACCCAACAACGCACCTAGACACCGGTGTAGCCTGGTTCTCTCTCGACGTTTCTATATACAATGCGCGTCACGCGATCTCTTCGACCCCGTCAGTTAGCGCGACCCGGTTAAGGACCCGGTCGGGGCGTCGCCGCGCCTCCTCTCGGCCTAATTATCGGACAGATAAGGTCTCGCGAAATAAATGATGTAATTAGGGGCATCGGGGGAATTTTAAAAATCGCGTAGATCCCACTGCGCGATTCGAAGCCCGAGAGGACGTGCACAGGCGAAGCGCGGAAGGAGTTTATAGCTGAAAAGGCTCTAGGTTAACTAGAACAGACCTTTCTCCTCTCTTTATTGATCAAACAAGTGTTTCTTTACCGCAGTACGAATTAAGAAAACGTATGTGTTGTTTTAACCTTCTTTCTCAAATTTAGAACGGGGCGAGAGGGAGGAGCTTTTTATTGCTTCGTTTAACTCGAATGAAATTCGAGAATTTGTAATTGTATCACAATTACAAATTCATAATAAGTCATCATTTTTGCGTGGCATATCATAACTTTTCAACCGCGTCCTAATTTTTATCTTTATCACTTTGAAAAGCGACTAATATCTCGCATTAAGAAAAATAGAAAAATAATAGACTTTCAACGTTAATTCGCGACTTTTTTACAAGCTTCCGCGCTGCAATTGGCCGCGATAGCGGCCAACTGCTTCTTCAGCTGCGCCCAATCGCAGACTCCGTTCACACTGCAGCCTTCGAGGATCTCGGGATTCTCGTTCAGGTAGAAGGTGACTTTGAAGGAAACATCATTGGCGTAATCATCATTGAAGGCGTAATCATAATTGAAGGCGTCATCGCTCGACTCGCATCTAACACAAAAATATTTCAAATGGTGTACGATATAGATAATACATAATACATATATTAAAATCATATAAAATAAAATAGATGGGAAAGAGAGAAGAATTATTTTGAGGAAGAACTAAAAGAATCGTCGGACTCGCGTGAACTAAAATTTTTAATATCAAATTCCCAGACAATACAAAGTCCAAAATCGAGACAGAAGACTTAAAGGCGTCTAAAGACGTTCTAAAGACGTCTTTTCTAACGGGACATCTTATATCCCGATGTTGTCTGGATTTGCTCTTCTTAAAGGGTTACGTCACTCTTGAGGCCTTAAAAGATATCTAAGTTTGGGATTTTTTTGTGGGTAGATAACTTTATTAAAAATTTGTTTAGAGGACATTTTTGTGTGTGTATATATACATATATATATAAGAAAGTAAAAAAATATATTTTTATTTTTTTATATCCAAAATGACGCACTGGCCTACTTGCGGAATACCTTTTTTCTGTAACTTCAAATCGATGTACAAGATTCCAGGCACGCGGTTTGAACAAAATACAAAAAATTTTCATTATCTACATATTAAAGACTAATGAAGTACGTAGGAGTTTTTCAAAACATTGATTTTTCTCAAATACTCTGGCAGCTATTTTTACGAAAAATTTGTATTTTTGCCAGTACCAAATCTTTCGTAAAATAGCTGCTATTTTGAGAAAAATCAATATTTTGAAAAACACCTACGTTATTAGTCTTTAATATGTAGATAATGAAAATTTTTTGTATTTTGCTTAAGGTCAAGCCGTGTGTCTGGAATCCTGTACACTGATAAAAAAAAGGGATTCCGCAAGGTGTATGCCAGTGCGCCGCTATTTTACATAAGAAAAATAAAAAAATATTTAAATGAAGAAATATATTTGAACTCCCTTTAATCAATAATAAAATTAACTAAATTAAATAAAGGGGTCATGGGAAAGTTCAGCCGAAACGTACGAACTAGTTATGTAAATTCTTCCTAACAACTAGCTACTATGTAATTATTTTATTAAAATTTGTTTTGTATTTAATTTGATTTTTGATTGCGCATGACTTAACACGCGCTATGTAACTCCCATAGTCCCTTTATTTTAGTTAATTCTATTATTAAAAACATATTTTTTTAGTTTCTAATATATGGACAATAATGTAAGTAGATTTTGAATAAAGTTAACAATTTACTCACGAAAAAAATCCCAAACTTTAAGTATTATTTTAAAATCTCAGGGATGGCCTAACCCCTTAATTCCCTTTTTCAATGTGACGGACATCGTGCGACGTATATCTTGGCAATCAGTCAATTATTTATAGTTATCCTGATCAATCACCTGTGGAAGATCGCCGCGAAATTCGCGGCGGACGGCACCAACTGGGAAACCCTCCAGTTTCTCTCGCTCATGTCTAGGAAGTTCGCGGGCGTGATCGGCCTGGGATCCTTGGCGATTCCCATCGTGGTCAAGAACAGCGACATCATGTACGAGTGCGCGAAGTAGAACACGCCCATCGGCTCGTCGTCCGGTTCCTCCAGCTCCTCCAGTTTCCTGCATAATTTTAGTTGTGAGAAAAAAAAAAGATATCAAAAAGAGAGGAGAGCTTCTTCAGGTCAAATCTCTCGTTGAAACCAAGGGGTTTGCTTACGCGAAGTGATCGAGCATGTCCTGAACGAGATGACACCCGAGCTCGCCGCTGAGCTTCTGCCCCGGACCGACGTCGTAGTAAAAAAGCAGATCTTCGACGTACTCGAAGATCCGCATCTCGCCGTGGGTGAACACGTCGCACCAGGGCGACGGTTTGTCCGGGTGCAAGGCTTTCTCGAAACGACACGCGTTGTAAAATAGTCTCGCATCCTCTGAAATTATTGCGTAACAACAGGAAATTCGCTGATTGATAACTGCAGGAAATTGATAATTGATTGCTAATAATTGATAATCGGGTACGGCTTCAAATCGGCTCCTCAGCTGCTGTCCCGTCTGTTTTGTGCAACTGGCACTTCTAAATCTACTCAAACGTATATTCATACTATTATTTGGAATTAGAGGCGCGCATTAAAGTTATTATTATTATTATTATTATCATTATTATTTAAAAGCTGATATCGCTCGGTGATTGGTTACTCACCTCGGCTGATGGGGAGGCCCAAACGCTGACCGATATTCGCGAGGACTGTCATCATTTCCGGGCCGTTAAGAAACGCGTGCATCTCCTTGTACTTCTTCCTCTCATTCTTCCAAGACACGCAAATGTCGTATGGCTATTTTAAATAGATACTATGAGAAATTTTCATACGTTTACCAATTTATTAATATTCGCAATGTGTTTTCGCAAAAGGGGGAAAAAAATTAACAATTTTGAGAGTGTCTTCCTGAATGACTCTTTCAGACTCTTTCTCGCGTTGCACGGCACGGAAAATTATTAGAATTTTAAAATAAATGGGAAGAGTTTGCCGCAACAGTGGGCTAACCATTTTGTAAAAACAAAAAAATTCGTCTTTAAAGCGATGGAAAAACATCCCGTTTTTCTATACCAGTATCACGTATTCGGCTACACTGTGGGTTAGCCTTTTGTTGCAGTCCTTCAATTATCGATTACCCGAAGTGAGCTTTAATGAAATACGTGCAGACTATTGATTTGTTACCTTCAACAAAATGTCATTAACGATCGGCACCACTTCAAGCTTGATCGACGTGTTACTGAAATCCCTTTGTGAGGATTTTGTGATTGTTTTTTGTACGTTCATCGATTCGAACTAGAAGGTAAAAAGATACAGTCAGATAAAAAGGTCTATTAATTTCTTTTTACACAATAATCTTCATTGATACTTAAATTTAAAAATAATGAAGTTTTAGTTAGATTTCACCAAACGATCGTATGTTATGAAGTAGAAAAACACTGGACATGTTGAAAAATACCGGTTTTTAATTGACACGTTAACGACATCCTCAATGACATATATATATTGTCTATTATAGTAGAATGCGCATTATAAATTAAACTGATATTTGCATACTCGTTTTTACATACTGATGTGTTTCTAAAAGAAACTTTCCTTCAACCTATTGAAACTTTCAGTTGTGGTCAATTAAATTATTCTCTAGAGTCTAGATCGTTACTTCACTCACCGGCCGTCTATTAATTCTTTAAGAAAGTACAGCTTTTTCCAATTTGTTAATATTACCTGCGGCGAAGCGCCGTTAGTCGGCAATATTTCGGGGCTATAGTCCAAGACTCCTTTCATGAAGGACTCCATACTAGCGATGGTATGTTGCGAGGCCGTTGATCTAAACTGTAACATTAATCGTCGGATTGATTTATTAATTAATAGATTTATTAATATATAAAAATATTTAAGACATGAAGATGTATAAATTAATAATATAAATATATTATATAACTTAATATTATATATAAATAATTATATAAATATATATATATATATAACTTATTTATTATAAATTAAATAATTTTACACTAATTTATTATATATATTATATATATTATATATTATTATATATTATATATTATTATGTATTATATATTATATATATTATATATTATATATATTATATATTATTATATATTATATATTATATATATTATATATACATTAAATAATTTTTACATTAACTTATTATATTTATATCGTATTTTACAATGCTTTTTAGATTGAGAGAAAAGAGAAAACAAAAATTGAATCTCCTCCGTATCGTAATATCCTTCGTTACCTTGTAATAATTGGTCGCGTTCGTTTTGAAGAGCCCCGGCAATTTCTCTTTGATTCTTGTGGCGAGCGACTCCAAATCCTTTTCACCCTGTAACGCCAAGTGCTTTCCCTTACCGACGGCCATCTCGGGGCAAGGTTTCCAATTCTTCAGATCAGTCCTTTCGTGGAACTTCGCGCCTACGGGAGCGGTCGTTAGAGTCGCAAAGATAAAGCATACCCCGCGTACGCGGTCACCCCGTCGCGTCGCTCGAACGACCGTCGGAGAACTTGGAAATCTTTAGGATTCTCTCACTCACAGGTCCCGTTGCCCGCTAGTATAAGATCTCGAATGTGCGTGAGATTCTGGATCCGCGCAATATTAGACTCGCTCGGATATCGCATCCCGCCTGTGTTCAGCATCCATATCTGCACAGGTTGGCAGTCTGAAAATCGCACGGTCGAAAATCAGGTCTTATCCAATTCTGATCTCGCGAACATTCGCGGGCCTTCAGGAAATACGGCGACGAGTACATATACTCACCCTCTAGAGTCATGGTGTCTCCGGTTTCGTAATGAGCGTAATAATACGCGGTCTTGGTGCCGGTGTAGGGATAAATGTTCTTTTGACAGGACAACTCGGATCTGTCAAACACCGCGCCTTTCGCCAGGCACATCACGGCAATGAAGAAGCAGAGTTTCCCACACATTCTGCGAATTCTCGCTGTTTTAGATTGAGAAAAAGAAACGGACGGCAGTCACATTTCTTGGAAGTAATGAAGCGATAAAACCAGTTTTTTTTTTCAAACAATTGAGTCTAATATACGGGAGAGAAACGTCACGTGCATTCGAAATGTAGATAATTATAAAATAAAAGAGGATAAAGGAAAAATAATAATTTTAAGTGAGAGAGCTATGTATATACGGAGAGAATTTTCCTTTAAAATTTAAATTAGTTATTTTAAATTTTAAAATAACATTTTCTCCGTGTATCTACTCTCATCGACGTTTTTAAATAGACTGTTATCTTAAGAATATCACCTGGCTAGATCACAATGTCTGAAATATGTTCCTTCACGTGAAAGAGAGAGAGAGAAGAGCGCGACTTATACTTTCGCACGAACAAAAACACGGACTGATGAGCGAATATCACTGATTGACTGTCTCCACGAGATTTTGCATAAATGCAATCAATTGATGTATAAATTATATAATAAATAACTATCCCGTGTAATCGCGGAGCGAAAAATTCTACGGAGATGAAATGTCACCGCAGCCTCACTGTTCGCATGATGAATTTTTTTTCCCCCGTATAATCAAAAAACCCGTCGCGAGGAATCCGGAAACAGGTTCGCGGTGCGCGTTTCACTCGTAATAAACGCCGAACACACTACACTGAGCGTGAAAAGTGCGACCCTCGAACGTAAAGGCGGAGTATCTATCTCTGTCGCCGTCCCAGAGGAAGCCGAGGGTGGTTTCCACGGACTGACTGGTTTTCTCGATTAGAGTGACCGTGACGACAATCCTGTGCCTGTGGAAGGGAAAGGGATTTTTTTTCGTAACGCTCGAGGAATTTTTGTGAATTATACCTGCAGTCGCCAAGCTCGTGTCAACGCCCGGTCAAGTTATCCAAAATTCTATATACTTCAGAAATAGATATCGATCTCTAAGATAAATTAAATATATAAAAGGAGCTGTAAATATATAGAAGTTATTATTTTGTTGTTATTTTAGCATACTGTTTTTTCTTGTGCTTTGGAATGTTTTGAGAGAGAAAAAAAACAAAGAATCTAAATGATTTACTTGCGTTGTCGATATTGGGACTGATGCTACTTTTGATCGTATATTTATAAATCTAACATTTATGGAGAAGATCTCCTCTCCCCCGCCCCTTTTCCTCTCTAGGAAATCCGCCACGCACCTGTCGAAGTTGAGCTTCTTCACGCGCCGTCGTATTTCCGCGGCGATGTCTCCGCATAATTTCACGGCCTCCGCGTCGTCGTAGGCGATCTCGTCCAAACGATTGTTCATCACCGATTTCACGATCTTGTCCACCAGATCGGTCTTGAACGGATTCTGTGGCTCCGTCCGATAATTGTTTTGATATTTCGGCACCTGCGGCAAATCGCTGTGCTCGCAACAATTTAATTAAGAGCCTCCTTTCTTGCCTAACTTCTTGTCTAATCTTGCCTTAATTCCACACTATTATTATATATTTTTTTGTATTATAGAAATGTATTTCACGTTTTTAAATAAATTTTACATTTTGTCATGTATATTTTTTATATTACTGTGTTATATTTTTAAATATTTTATGGAGATTACTATTACGTAACTCGCGAGATTAAAAAAGAAGTTGATTTAAAGTCTATTTGAGAATCAAATGATCGTTGTTATCAAAATAAGATCTTCGATCGAACGATACATTTTAATGCATCGATGCGAATTCCGATGATGCAACGTGTCTCGAAGGAGCACTTCGTATCGGTGGTTTTTTACCTCATTGTCGTCGCAAGTTTTTTCACTCGCTTCGAGCTGGTGCGGCATAATGTCGATTTCCGATGATAAATCGATCAGAATAGACCTTTAATATTCCATAAGAATTCTCCCACTCTTCAGCAACAATTCTCTGGTTGATTAATCCTGGCAAGGACGCGCGTATCTAAGGTAAACTGTCAGTTACTTGGAAACGCCGCGAAGATCGATCGACGGAAGCAAGAATAAATATATTTGTGTACAAGTAAATACCTTAAGAAATTTAAGAAAGGAACTTGAACGTACGTTGAGAAAAGATTAAATTATAATCAAATTCGTGATTCTCCTGTAGAAACACAGAGATAAAAAAAAACTTCTATAAAGCTATACATTTCAAAACGTTGCTTTCGAGGAAAAGTTTGCTAAGAAGCTATAGTTTACGTTACGTATGCTATAGATTTTTAGTGAAATTTTCCTAAAAAACAACGTTTTGGAATGTAGCCTAAAAAAGCAAAAATATGCAATAATTTATAAGATTCATCAATTGCATTATCAACATTTATTTGAAATCTCATTTAAAAATTTGTTGTTTTGGGGGAAAATATATCTTCTTGAGAATCTGAAACTTAAGAAAATTGTTTTTAAACGTTCATTTTTCTCACATCATTATATTATATTAAGTAATCTTATAAAATTTTATTTTATGATTTTACAGAATTTCGAAAACATTTTATTACGCGCTTCGTGAATAACTTTGTGTTTCTTTAATAAGGATACAGTGTTATAGTACAGACAGACGTATTTAATAATCATCTTTATTTTTCATTGTACATCGTATTTAATATTTGTAATATTTCCATCAGCAATTTTCTCAATCGCGAGCCTCGGAAAACGTCTCGTTTTAATTATCATTCTCAACAAACAACTCATTTTCTTTCTATTAATATCTCCGAATGCGGGCCTTAAAACACGCTTTCCACACACGTATGCACAGCGGTGATCGATTTTCAAAACTTGCGTAAAATGCATGCCAGAAATGCTTTGCCAGAATCGAGGAAATATACATATATATGTATATATAAGCTTAAATTGTTTCGAAAAGTATTTGTGGACGCGACATCATGCGAAGTTTTTCGGATCATCTGGAAAACTTCGAAGAGACTTTTACAGACACTTCCGATAGGAAGAACTTCTGAGCGCTCCACCCGTTTCGAGGGTTCCTCAAGGACGCAAACATGAAAATACGCTCCGAGGAGCGAGCGCGCCGAGCGCGCTTGTCCTCCCTTCTGATCTCGGGCCACTTTTTTGATTTCCGTTTCCGTTTCGCAATAGTGCGGTGGGGGGTGAAAATATGCTCTCTAAAATATATACTGGTATTACATTTATCGATACGTCAATTCCATTCACAAATTCCTAAGGTGACACGACGAACCGGCGCGGTGGTCGTTACTTCTCGAATTTCAACGTGCAAGATCACAAGAGAAAGACAAGTTTCGAACAATTATTAAATTAAAGTATATGTATCACTAGCTCTTTAGAAATAATACACATATGTACATGTATTCATTATTTATAATTGTAATCTACACGGAGAGAATTTTTTTTTTAAATTTACCCTGCAAATCATGTTAATTATGGGACAATATAGTATTTAGGCAAATTTTACTGTGCACTACAATAAGATTTTGCAGTAAAATTTATTGTAGTGCACAGTAAAATTTACCTAAATACTATATTGTTTCACAATTAACATGATTTTCAGGGTAAATTTTAAAAGAAAATTCTCTCCGTGTAGAATCCTCCTTGAATCATCTTCCACTCTTTCTTTCTCGTCTACATCACAGAAATACTTACAATTACCTGCAATCGTAAGTATTCGTCAATTAAAACATTGTTAATCCTCAAGTGTGTTACCTATTAAAATTGAAGTAACTCAAATCTCCAACAAATCAGCGCGCGGAATGTTTACGTAGAACGCACAGTAATTAACAATATCGTGCATAAACAGTTACGTAAATTCTTTATAGAAACTCTGAAGCGCGCGAACGCGATCTTAATATTTTTCTCCCTCGGTCCCAAGAGACTCGCTGCATTCAGCATGTTGTTTCGCGTTTCTGCAGAAACCCCGGCGCGTCTCCGTGAGGTAGGCATCTAAAACGTGTGTTCGCACCGCGATTGGCTCTTCGACGGGGAAAACTCCCTCCGACGGGGGAGGGGAAGAGCGGCTCCTGGATCAGCGGATCGTCCTCGCGGGACGTCAAGCGCGTGAAAACGCGCCGCGTTAAAGCAAAGCGACGACGAAGCTCTAAGACAGCATCTCCACCTCCGCTTGGATGTTCTGGCGCGCCTGCTCCTCCAGCTTGTCGCGAAACTCCACGGTGGCGAAGATGTTCGGGATCTGCAGGAAGTTCTGCAACACCTGAGGAAATGAGGCGTCAGAATGAATATGGTTAGCCTGTCTTTACGTAAATGTGCGCTAAATTCTTTTCCACTTCAGACACAATTTTTAAAGATGTAGAGAAAAAAAAGATGCAGTATATTATATAGATCTCTCAGATGGAGATTACAATAAATATAGCACTTAACATTTTTTTTTACAAGATAATTTTTTTCTAGATACAATATCTTCTAGATTTGAATTTTGAGAAACACTCTAGTCTTCTTTATGACCGGTAAATCCAACGGAATTTAATAATAATCTCAGAATAATAACAATATTTTAAGATTTTTATTAAAGTTTGTTCCATTGAATTAATAACATTCCGTAAAAGAAGACTCTCTAAAGTCTTCTAATAATAATAATTATTAGAATTATAGTTATTATTACTGCTATTATTATTGGAATTATAATAATGATTTGTTATTATTATTATCATCTCGGTACAGCTTTGTATTTTTTGATAATATTTGGTTCAAGTCGAAACCATTTCTTTTTGTCGTTCACGTTATACATACACTTCGGGGTTAAACGGGATGACTCACCTTCAGCCGTAGTGCCGTGTACATGGGCTCGCTGAGGAAAGAGTACTCCCCGCGTATTCGCTCCCTGTACTCGGCGTAACTGTCCGGAGGGGAGCCGAGTACCGCCATATCCAGGTCCAGGAAGTAGTGAGCATCCTCGCTGCCGAAGGCACCGCCAACCTTGTGCGCCTCGGTGCTGTGAGTCGCCGCTACTTTGAGCAGAGCACAAGTCTCTTCTCTGAGATCCGCGTCCTAGAATTATTATTATTATCAAATCACTCAGGTCACCGTTGTGAATATGACAGAATTCGATTATTCATCTCTCGGGAATTCATTCTGTCTTTGACTCCAAAAAGTGTTGATAAACTTTCAAACGATTATGATTTAAGTTACTTCTCTTTTTCGTTCTATTCTTCAGTATTTTAACATTTTTCTTTTCGTATAAACTGTATCAAAAATTTTACGATCTGGAAAGTTTGAGAAAAAAGGTACGTCAAACGAGAGGCTGAGAATTAAATTCCCGTGAGAGATTAACGAACAGAAGGTCGCAGGACTGTTTACTCACCGATGGAATTTCGGCCTCGTCGGCGAAAGCGTTGAACTGCTCGAGATTTTTGTCCTCGCTGAAGACCAGAGCTTTAGGATCGTACTCGAAGCTGCAACGTTAGATAATTTCGAGTCAATCAGTGTTGCTGAGCGAAACGATGTAACATAACAAATTCCGTTTGAGTAAAAGGAAAAATAACGCTGCCAAGATCTTCTATCGTCGCGTTCGTTGCCGCCGCGCTGCACTCACTTTTGAAAGAATATGGCGAGCAGGACGGCCCGCGGGTTTTTGAGATTGCTTTTGATTTCGTAGTAGTGATTCAGCTTGTCCCTGAGCGAGTCCAGGTTGTGGTACTTGCGTTTCTCCTCCGAGTAGACCTCCTGCAGGCGGGTGAACCAGGAGTCGCAGACCGCGGCGTCCAGGCCCTCCGTGGCTTCCTTCCAGCTGTCCTCCAGCGATGCCATTGCCGCTGAAATTGTCCGTTCCGTTTAATCCGCGAATGCTTCACGGGCATGAAAGAAAAGCGTAAATTACTTATCAATTAACAGCCGACGCGTTTACCGTCAGGCTTAATTGACATATGTATATTTGTCTCACAAGGACTCTTACAATAATTACAATATGAAGAATTTCAATTGCCTCACATAATTCGCGCTTTTCCGAATTAATATTAAAATGATTAAATAGCTCGTAATTTAATATTTCAGAAAACTTTAAAAGGGGGGGTATTAATTATGTTTGCATGAAAGTTCTACGTACACATTTATAAGTATTTCTCTCAAGATAGTGTCGTTAATGGATTAAGTTTCAGTTGAAGCTGACTTGCGGATAGAAAAGAATACGATTTCACGGTCATTTTCATACTCAACAATCGAAGATTTGTTATAATTTCAAGAATTGGATATGTCGAGACTCTCGAAGACGCTCCGACGTTTACATAGGTATAACAGATGTGTGGAGGTCAATGTCAGAGAAAGACGAAGCGTCAAGAGATCGAATTCGCTCGGGAAATATCTAACGGGAGATAAGGTTCGCGGATCCGAGGGGGATTTCCCGGAAGCGGTCGAAAAGTCGCGTGAGTCGCGAGGGACGCGTCGAGAGACCTGGGACTCTGCCAGGAGCAGAGGATTCGATCGGCTCGTGAACCGCGAGCTCGCGCACGCGAGTGCGAGAGGACGCGCGCTGTTATATCGTGGCACTCACTTACAATTTCCGACGGACGAAGCGTCGGCGAGGAGCCAAACACACGCACACGGGTTTTTTTTTCGGGGGAGGACAGCGGGGGAATTACCGGGGCATGATCCTCGCGACACCACACGCGCGAACGCCTCGCGAATGACAGAGCCCCGCTTGCGCTGGCGGAGCGTCAGCTAACGTTACGTTGCGCCGCGCGTAGGCCGACAAAACAGTCCACCTCCACTTATTGATCCGGCGACGGTTGAGCTCGCTCGAGCTTTCCTAGGGGGTGGCCGCGACGCGGACGCCCGCGGACGCGGACGCGCGGTTGTCACGCTATATACCGTGCGGAAGCCACGCGCCCGCGTCCGTCGAGCGCGCGATTTCCGAGGGAGGATCTTGCTTTCGCAAAATCAATTTCCTTCGATTTTGACGGCGCGAGAAGTGCAATTTCAATATATATCGCTGTGTAATTATTGAATTTATACACGGAGAGAATTTTTTTTTTAATTTACTCTGCAAATCATGTTAATTATGAGACAATATAGTATTAGGCAAATGTTACTGTGCACTACAATAAGATTTTGCAGTAAAATTTATTGTAGTGCACAGTAAAATTTATCTAAATACTATATTGTCTCACAATTAACATGAAATTCAGGGTAAATTTTATAAGAAAATTCTCTCCGTGTATGAATATAATTAATGAATGAAATTTAGACCGTGCAACTTCAATAAATAACTGTCTTTTATACGGTTGAAGCAGGTTCTTATAGTGCTTAATAATATTTTATGTGTGTGAATATATATATATATTTTTCAGTTCTTTGAAGTCGATCCTAAAATACGCTCCTAAAGCTGGAATAATAATATTACAAATTAAATTGACAATCAATTTAATACTAAATGCTATAATTATTAATAAAGATCTTTAACTTATTACAAAGAATTTTTTATTATTAATTTAACTATTTATGTGTATCGTATGTTTTTAATTATTGCATTCACATTTTTTTTATCACATTTGTTTTACGTATATACGTATTATTTGCTTCTTTTTGAATCACTTATCATGCAAGAAATATCACGCGGAAAAGATTTTTAGCATTGTAATGATATATAATGGTAGCAATTTTTTAATTTGATCAATCAGATCAAATTTTGTCAGACAAACTTGTGACGTCACGTAAAATTTTCCACCTCGGTATGTACAGTCATGGACACATCGGTTGCGACACTTTCTTTTTTATAAGTTTCAAAACGGACTAATATTTTGCAAATGCGGACCACGATTGGTGTTGTACTGTCTCTAGACTAAAGATGGTACATCGTGGTTCGCATTTACAAAATATTAGTTATCTATAAACTATATATTATGTATATTAAATATATATTAGAAATGTATATTAAATATATATTAGATGTATATTAAATATATATAAAGATGTATATTAAATATATATTAGAAACCTATAAAAAAAAGTGTCGCAACCGATGTGTCCACGACTGTACATACATGATATATTACTCCAATTTAAATTCGATGGCGAACGCGAGAAATTTGAAATCTCGCGGATCGAGAGATCGAATATCACGGCGATCGATTGCAAGAGTCGAATTTCGATAGCCGGCACTTGCCACTCTTGTCTTATCAGCTGACTGCTCTAAACATCGGACGCTTTGCACTTGCCTGTCGGAGTTATGGAAGGATGCCCGGACATAATTTGTTATTGTTGTACGTGCTGCTGGTCGCACCGATTTCTATCGCTTTGTTTCTATACGGTTTCTTCCCCGTCGCTCATCATGCCGACACGAATGACACGATCGCCTCGGAATCGGATATCCCGGATTACGTCGGTGACGTGAGGTGAGTTAACCTTAAGATTATCGTGGAGGAAAAAAGGAGAAGGGGCTCTATTTACCTTTAGGAATTTGTTTAAAATTTTATTTAAAAAATAGGAAGAGTGATCAGTAATCTGTAAAATAAGAAGATAAAACAAGAGTGCCTATGCTGTTTGATCTCTAAAGGAAAGATCGAAGGCACGTGCATTATTCTTCACCCGAAAACAACTTTCAAAATGTAAAGAGAAATAGACCTAAAATTATTAGTCGCTTTAATGTATCTATTAATAAATAATGTTAAATAAATAGTGTTCATAAATAGTAGTAAATAATATAAGTGTAATTTACTAATAATATATATATATGATTAGTATATATAAATATTAATTGATCATATTTACATTAAACATGATTAATATAATTAATATAAATCAGTTTGTATAAACAACTTTCAATGTTATAAAAGTATAATTTTATTTTAACTGATATATCTACAAAGCTATAATAAAACGTCATTTTATTTTCATTAATACTGTAAGGAAGTTAAAAATATATTCAAATCGAAATATTACATAGTATTCCATTTTCATCATCAAATTATATATTAAATAATTGTTAACATGCATTTATCAATTCATTTGTTGATATTCTAATTCAAAATTTATCGTACTGCTTGCAGAGTAGACAAACGTGAGTTATACGAACGAAAAGCATTTAGATTGATAATCATGGTGATCGACGGACTGAGGTGGGATTTCGTCGCGGGTCCAATGGGAAAAGTCGCCATGCCGTTGTCTAGTAGTCTACTAGCAGAGCACTCCTCGGGATGTCTGCTGCGGGCTAAATTGCAGTCGCCGACGGTGACGATGCCCAGGATAAAAGTAAGGTTTCAGCTAATTTTGCTAGCGATCCGTTCGAAAGTATTCCAACACGCCTGAGGAGCCAGTTTGTAGGAATCTTTATTTGCTAGGCGATGATGACTGGTACAGTGCCGAACTTTGTAGATGTAGTACTGAACTTTGGGAGTAAGCCTCTGCAGAGCGACAATCTGTTGCTTCAAGCGAAGGAGCACGGGCACAGATTAATATTTTACGGGGATGACACTTGGCTCTCTCTGTTTCCCCGTACATTTGATCGTCACGATGGCACCACTTCGTTTTTCGTTACAGACTTCACGGAGGTAATTAATGTATCACAATAATTAATGTAATTAATGTATCTTTGTTTATAAGATATTGGTATTGCGAGACTAACTGTTTGCTAAATTTTAAACAGGTAGATAATAATGTAACTCGACACCTACAAGACGAGTTGAATTCCTACGATTGGTCTGTGATGATTCTTCATTATCTCGGACTAGATCACATTGGCCACGTCGAAGGTCCGTTTGGCCCTTCGATTAAGCCTAAATTACGGGAAATGGATGGGATTGTCGCTCAAATAGCCCAAAAAGTGAAAGATTGGTATAGGGTTAGTGCTTGGAAAATTATCTCAATCTTTGCTTTATTATCTTTTTCTCTTTTTTTTTCAGAATATGCATAATGTGTATAAAAATAGTTTATATATATATATATATAATTTATAAAATGTTATTTAAAAAAGAAAGAGAAATATTGGAATTATTTTATTCTTATTTGCAACGTAATAAAATTGTATGTTTGCTCATTTATTTGCAGAGAAAAATATTTACACTCTTCGTCGTCTGTGGTGATCATGGGATGAAGGACTCGGGCGGTCACGGCGGCTCGACGCCGGAAGAGACAACGGTGCCGTTTATTATGACAGGGCTGCCTTTTGAGCCGTCTTGTCGTCAGGCGGACGGTGAGCCGATTGAGATCGAGCAACTCGATATTGCGGCGACATTGTCGGCCGTCCTCGGACTACCTATTCCTTCTACAAATCTCGGCTCCGTGTTCCTGGACAGCGTCCACGATATCCCCGACGACAGGCGACTCTTCCTCCTCCATTACAATTCGAGGCAGGTGCTCGACCGTTTCCGGAAGCTCGTGCACGACGAGTCGCAAATTGAGTGTGAGCATTTGACTTAAAGAGTTATTATTCGCGCGGGGAATGTTAAGGCGATGCTGAAGCGACGGCCGAAATATCGCTGTTTTACCAAAGACTTTGTGCGTATGCATGCACGCGGTATTGTGTAGGATGTAGTGTGTGTCGATGTTTACCACTACATTAATATAGCACGCATCCATACACTGTAGTTTTATACACAATCTTTTCTCATATATTAAAAAGCACCTAGGCTCATTATAGTGAAAGCACAGTACTATTCTTTCACGTGAGCCCCTTTCACGTAACACGGGGATTGAATTTCATCCGCGTTTTTCCATTAGTGTCTGTACTCTAATTTTCAAATCTATAAAAGTAATATATACGAAAATTATTGCATTTTCGTCGATAAAATAGACGAACTCCAGCATCGCCTTAAAAATTTTTCACAGATATTCAGATAGCGAGGAAATAAGATAACCCCATTATAGAAATTTAGAAAACGAGAAAAAAAAGAAATATATCAATTACTTGATATTCGAAATCCAAGTTGTGTCGAGAATTCAGGAAGTCGAAAATATATTATCGATTTCTAAAATGTGAAAGGGAATACTCTCACGACAATTTTGTCTTATAATTTCAAAAATTTCTTAGAACTATTTTATTTATTCTTATGCAGGTATCAAAAAAAAGTAAAATCGAACGGTGGTGAAGGACCTTATAGCTAAAAATCATAGTAAGGACGCAAACGGCTTATTATCAAAGCATTTTCTTTCTCGTATACTTTAATATCAACAAAGATATCCTTCAAAGGATCTCTGGACGAGACTGCATCCGACACTATTTCTTTGCGTAACACATTTCACTGCAACAATTGACATCACCTCTCGATGGATTGAGCTACCCATCGAGCGCGTCTCCAGGTGGCGGATAGGAGGACGGCCAGACGACGCTGTCGTCTGGTTAGCGGCAGTCATAGCCTCCCTGCCGGCCGGCAGAACGAGGTAAAATTGTCGCCGCGGACCAGCTCCCCAAAGCCAAGTTGTGGGCGAGAGTCGTGGCGAGGGCTGCGTGACACTGGGGGAGCAGTGTCGCTAACGACGCCTCCGGGGAACCGGGCGACACCCCGCCAGTAATCGAGCCTTACCCACGCATGCGGGGCTCTGCGTGGGCCGACCGTGTCTTTTCCCTAGCTGCTCGTGGGATTCAAATGGAGAAACTTGAAACTGTTAAACTCGAAACTGATGTAGACACTGAAATCAAAATAAAGACGGAGGCCGCTGAGGAGGTCTCCGACACGCGTGACGCGGACAATACCACCGACGTCGCTCGATTTCTGGACTCGAGGAGTACCGTGTTCACTACGAATAAACTGAACAACGCTACGGTGGTCGGAAACAATACTCTCTTCCGTTCGCAAAGAAATTGGAGGAGGAGGAGGAAGAAGAAGAAGAACTTCCCGTCTAACTTGGCCTTTAATCACCCGGCGGCCTCGACGGCGCCACAGGCAACGGCGAGCACATCCGTCCACCACGGCGTCAAACGTCCGTACAGTTCCGTCGACGGCTTCGCGCCGAACAGCGCTAAGAAGCTCAAGGTGTTCGACGAGAGACTACAGACGGTCGATCATCGCCTGATCAGAGCGATAGTGTCGACGGACAACGCGCCGTTGGGTCCGGAGCAATTGACGCTGTTCCGAGGTGCTGTCTCGCGGGAGATCGACAAGATCGTCGGTGGACCCGTGCCCAAGTTTTACGACTCGTACGTCAAATTCGACGCGATAGTAGTCAGATGCGTCGACGACGCGTCGCTCCGCTGGCTGTCGCTGCAGATCGGGCGCATCTCGCCGTGGCCGGAGGCCAAGCTCAAGATGATCGCCTACAACGACCTGCAGAGGTGCTATCGGGCTTGCGTGTGGATCCCGGGTCCGCACGAGGCCACCGGGATCGTGCTGCAGCGACTGAACCGGCAGAATCCGTGTCTCAACACGGCGAGCTGGAGGATATTCGCCGAGAACGGCTCTTCCAAGAATGGGAGGAGTCTGTTTCTCGGGATGCCGGAATCGGACTTCAGAAGGCTCGAGTCGCTCAATTTCAGGGCCTACCTAGGCCTCGGGCAAGTCAACTTTGCCTTTACCAACGTCAGTCAGGAGAGCTCGGTCGCGTCCAATTAATGTCTTCGTTAGTGGCTTCGTAATGTCTAGTCATTTTTTTCTTTAACTCGACCGGGACGGGCTTAACTTTTTGATGTAAATAAAAGACTAAGGTCTAAAAAACACTTTTTATGTCATCGTTCTTGCTTGGTGTAACAAAGAACACGGTATTTTTTTATTATATGTTTATCGTTTTTTTTCCAATTCTGTATAAGTAAAGACAAATAAAAAATTGGAATATATTTTCCCCTGTGTATCAAAGATAATTTAGCATTTATCAATTTTATTGTGTGACGTTCGTCTTATATTCGTTTTATGTTTCGTTTGTCCTTCGGAAATCTCAGACTTAAAAGAAAAAGCCTAAACTGTGGAACGTCCATGAAGATCACAGCAAAAATCCTTCGAGGCTTTAATTGCTGTTAATAATGACTAACAAGAAGACAATATATGGCCATCGTATTTGAAACAATTTATCGGAAATTATTCAATCTTTTTTTTTAATAGAAAGTGGGTTTAGAAGTACCTTCTTCCGGGCTTTGTCCAGATTCTCGCTTGAAGCCTCAGAAAAAATTGTTGCTGATTAAAAATCTATTCGTTGGAAGACGACACCGAATAGTCAACAGCTGAGAAACAGAGAGATGCTCTGTCAAAGGATTATATTTCCTTTTTATTATCACGATGGCAGGAAATCATTCCGCTGAAACTTAAAAGCGATAACGAATTAAGATCAACTACTTATATATTATTCCCTTATAATATTTACATTTGTATTTTCATTTATGCTTTCTTCTGCAAGTAGCATCTTTTATCATCTGTTTTGATCCTTAAAATTAAGATCCTTTGGAATTAATGGTCGCATGAAGGGAGATTCTATATTTTCCAGACATGAACGGAAAGTATTTAGATGCCGAGAAACTGCACGTCGCTTGGTTGAAAGGGAACAGGAATCCTGAGATGGTCGAGAATATCGCCTCGTCTTATAAGGCGATCCTTAAGGAGATGAGAGATGCTCTAATTAGTAGCACAATCGAATACGACTTTCGCTCGATGGCCGCTGCCATGATCTTCCTGTGTCAAGTGAGTAAAACATAGTATATTCCGGAAAGATAGTATCTAAAGTTAATATTTAAAAAGTTTTTTTTTTTAAGTATTATATTATAAGTAGTTGAAAAATTATATTTAAAGAGCATTCAAATAGAAGTTAAGGAGATATAATCCCGCTAGGTAGATCCAAAGATGTAATACGTAATTTTATAGATAAATAAAATAAATGAAATTTCTTTTGCTCTAAATTAAGAAATTTGTAGATAATTTTCTGCATCTTTTTTCAGATACTTGTCATTTTGTTTTTTGTGCAAACCGCCGCTTGGACTACGCCTAAAAAGACCGCATCGTTCTTGACGCGAGGAATTAATTATCCTGACAGTTTCGGAAGCGCAACTTCTTTCTATCCGACGAATGTATTTAAAGCTATTCTCGCTTTGCTATTCTTACTAATCAAAGGCATTATTTATATCAATATTAATCTTTGCACGGGAAGCAAATTATCTCTAACGGAGGTGAGAATCAATATTTATTTAATTTTCAGCGTTAAATAGTAAAAAGTGTTATTAATTTAAGCGGTTAAAAATATTTCTCGCGCGATATAAATAATTATGATCTCTACAGGTTTAATTATGTTTTTTAAAATGGAAATGAAAACATTAGTAAATTTTAATACAAGCACTCTGAATTATATTCTTATTATTGTTTTCTATAGATCAAATTTCTGCTGTATATTAGAAATTTTTGAACTCGAATAAGATTTTCTTTCAAAAGTAAATATTTTATCTCCATTGTAATATTTTAATTTCCGATTTTTTTTTTGAACGCAGATCACGAAGGGATCGAAGATACGCGTAGTGTTACAGATCGGCGCGTTGTTGCACATAGCGAGCCTCGCCGGCAGCAGTTTCGTTGAGGAGGAGCATCAGACATGGTACTTCTTCTGGTCTAGTACGATTGCATACTTCCTCTATCGTTATTCCACAAGATTACTCGCACACTATCGACAGTAAGTAGAATTTTCTTTCCTGATGGTCATTCAAATCAGACACTGAATATATTATTCGTTCACGAAAGATTCAGCACTTAATTTATATAAATTTTCCAGAGATTATATTATGCTTCATACATTTTATGTGTAAAACAAACAGAAATTGATTCATTAGTTTTGCGATATTTCTTTAGGTATTCTTTAAATTTCGAGGGATTACATTGCGTTTTCATTACCTACTATTAATTATAGATAAAATATGAAAAACGTAATAACGTAATTCTTATCAATTTATTGCTACGTAAATTTATAAAAAAATATTTCTTTAGATATTCTTTAAATTTCGAGGGATTACATTGCGTTTTTATTACCTACTATTATTTATAGATAAAATATGAAAAACGTAATAAAACGTAATTCTTATAAATTCATTGTTATGTAAAGTTATAAAAAATACAATAATAATGAGGTTCAAGTCAGATTTGAATGCTCCATCACGTCACACCTGAATCTCTCCTCGCAATCTAATAATACGATATATAATAGCGATCTTACGAGCGCTGAGGTGCTAACAGAGGCATGTCCAAGTTGCGGCATCACCAGGCGTCACGTAGAACTTTCCGTTAAGCTGCTGTTGCTGCTGATCGGACACAGAGTTCTGCGAAGGCTGAACAGCACCGGCGACAAGTGGGCGCATCTGGCCGACATAGCCCGCTGGTTGAAGGCGGACGACAGCAAAGTCGGGATGACGCTTCTGCTTCTAGCTGGTAATATGTCTAAACGTGCTGAAACGAAGATCTTTAAAAAAATCTTCTCTCAACGTAAATACTGAAATACAGATGGTCTTTTGATTATAAACGATTGGGAAATGAGTGTCGTCTCTGCGCGAGATATCCTGTGCCAAGATTTAACCCGGTGACGTTCATTTTTTCAGCGCTCGTTCTTCTAGTCTGGATCGCGCACGAGTGCGAGGATAGGCAATACAGGCGGCAGTCGTTGCTCCTCAACACGGCTATCGCGGCGTGCATATACCTTCGCCACGCGTCCAACGGTGCCGTCGTGAAAATCCCGTCGTATCCCGCGTCGAGGTAAACGCGATTGCGTTTTACTTATACGTGTTCCACGTAAACGTCAAGAAGTTTATCAGTCCTTCGTCGAAGCGACGAACTGTCAATATCCGCGCACGTTGTCAAGGAGCAAATTGTCGCGTCTGTTCCAGTGGAATACACGAGGTGCAAGTGTTTTGGGGGCTAACAGCGCTGTCCCTGCTGAGCTACGGCTACAGAGCGGCGTTGACAATCGGGCGCAACAGACGGCGTTTCGCGAGCACGATGCTGTTCTTCATCGTCAACACGTGGGTGACGATCTCGGCGATGCTGCACCAGCCGTACAACGTGATCCTGTTGCCGATGCAGATCGTCGCGAGCTGGACGATAGAGACTGTGTTGCGAGAAAACGATCTGCTCGATCTCGGGGTTTTCGTACATTACATGCTGGGCAATGTGCTCTATTTCTATCAGGTAATTGCCTTGACTTTTTGACTTTTATCAATTCACGTGAGCAGAATGAAAAACCTCTGACAGAGAGAACTTAATATTTTCAATCGAATCTTTTTTTTCTTCTAGATCATTTTTAGAGGAGTTTAAAACAAATAGAAATTGATACATTAATTTTAAGACATTTCTTTAGGTATTCTTTAAATTTCGAGGGATTACATTACCGTTTTGATTACTTGTTAATTATAGATAAAATATGAAAAAAAAACGTAATGCCTGACTTTTTGATTTTTATTAATTCACGTGAGCAGAATGAAAAACCTCTGACAGAGAGAACTTAATATTTTTAATCGAATTTTTTTTCTTCTAGATAATTTTTAGAGGAGTTTAAAACAAACAGAAATTGATACATTAGTTTTACGATATTTCTTTAGGTATTCTTTAAATTTCGAGGAATTACATTGCCGTTTTTATTACCTGTTAATTATAGATAAAATATGAAAAAAACGTAATAATTCGCTTATCAATTTATTATTATGTAAATTTATAAAAAATAGAAGAATGATAAGATTCAAGATATGAATAATCCGTTGCGTCACCTGAATCTCTCCTCGCAATCTAATAATACGACAAAAGCGTCTTTTTCACAATATTGATATTTGTTAGAATTATTTTTCCGTTGCTTGAATTTCTGCAAACTTTCGTTAGGAAATAATTCAAAGCATTCGTAGAGTTAGCGTATTGCATATTTAAATATACTATTAATCATATAAATAGATATAGTTAATAATATGAATAGAGATAAAAAAATAGAGATTCAAGCTTCGAGAGAATTCTCACAAAAAGTTTCTTTGGCAAGATATAAAAAAAAATTTTAATACAATTCAATAAAATTTTAAACTCGTTAATCTAATAAAATTTAATAAAATTTTAAACTCGTTAAAATTGTTATCAAGCCATTATATAACCTTGTATTGTAAGGTACGATTGATATTTTAGGGCAACTCCAATAGCCTCGCGAGCGTAGACGTCGCGGCGGGATACGTCGGTCTGCGTTCCTACGTGCCTCTCATCACCGGTGTGTATCTAGTCATCAATACTTATTCCGCCCCCGTCCTGGCCTACTTCCTGCTGATTTACTATCGGCAGCTGAGTCAGGCGTACCGGTGAGTACCCCGCGAATTCTAAAATTCTTGTGTAGAACGACTTGATGCAGGTCCGGTGGACGATCGTTATTAACGAGAGAAATCGATGTCTGCAGCACGGACGTCGTCACGCATACGAGCAGGACTTACATCGCGTGGAGGCTGCTGACGACAGCCGTCTACATGATCATCGTCACCAGCCAGCGTCACCATCTGTTCGTGTGGTCGGTGTTCTCGCCGAAATTACTGTACGAGGCGGCGTACTCCGCGACGATGTGCTGCAGCGCGCTGCTGGCGTTGCTCGTGACCGCGGTGCAGTCCGCAGTGATTCCTAAATACGCATCGTACCAGACTTGAGACGACGCGACCGGATCGCGCGAGAAACGGATCGACGTTTGTACATGCTTGTAAATGAACGAATTTATATTTTTCTAAAAATTAGATTTAATATTATTAAATGATATGTATATAGTTTAAATATAGTCTATAATATAATTAAATCCGTAGATAATAGCGTTTCGATCCCGATGAAAAAAGACTGACAGAAGTAAATTCTGATGATAAAAAATGAATTAAGTATGAATACGAATTGAAAATCGATCATTTTTTAAACTTTGTACATCATTAACTGATGAACGCTCGGTAAAGTAAATTTGTCACACAGAATTTAGTGTTTTTTAATGAAGATTTTATTTCGTTTAAAAAAAAGATCCATTTCATTGCGTAATACTAAACCTAGAACGCAGTATCAACAGCAACGATACTCCGTAATAACGGAAGTTTATTAGTAAAATAAATTCGCTCTACTAGAATGGTTTAACAAAGACCGAAAACAATCAAATCCCCGACTTGTCGTCGTGTAACACAAAGAATCGGAGAGAAATCCATGTTCCGTTCGCTTCAATCACCGCACACAAGCAAGGAAAAGAAATGGATTTCTGATCCGTGATTTAAGTAAGACGAACAGTCTGTTTGATAATGTTAACTTGCTACATTGGCAAAACATTCGCAAACATCATACTTTCCGAAGATATAAAAAAGAATTGATTGTTTTTCTTTTTTTTTACTAAATGTTGTGCACCCTCTTAACTTATTAGGGACCGAGCAACCCCAGTGTCTTTAATTTCCCCTTCTGCGGCTCCACAGTTGTACTTCGCGCGACGAATAAAAAATTGCATCAATCAATTCAAGGGCATAAAAAAAGCCGAGTAACAAATAAAATATGTACAATAAATATGCGCATGCATGTTCGTGATATCATTGGTCAAAATCATCGAACGATGGCACGAGAGCAGAGCGAGGGAGGGAAATTACAAGTTTTACTAGGGGTAGCTCGGCTGGGTTGCGGAGGCTCGGTCGGATTCTGAAAATCGCGATTAGGATCGCTGTTCCACTCGATCGGTGACCGGAAATCGGGGAAATTCACACGCGGCCCAGATGTGACCGAGCGCACTTGTCTCGCGCAACCCGGAGAACCGTCTCGTGCCAGCGAGACGCCCGCTCTGCTAAGAACGCGATTTTGGTTCGACTACCTAATAATCTCTCGCAGGGTTGCATTTCAATTCGCTAAAGTTCCTCACTAATCTCTGCGATCACGACAAAATAAATTACTATCGTTGCGTCCAAACGCTAAAAAAAGAAAAGAAAAAACGTCCGATTTCTCGGCTAATGCGACTCTACCTTGACTCGAGAGCGAAACTCGAACGTCGACGAGGATGTCGAAAGAGTTATCAGTAGGAACATCTTTCTGTGCAAATACTCTACGTAAGTACTAAGGTCGCCAAATGCAAGATGTCTTAGGCTTCTCAGCCACGCTCACATTTACTGTGGCTACTTAAAAAAAAAGAATCTTTTTTAATTTCTCTCATAATTTTCAAAATTATTAAAATAATCATCGCTCTTCTTTTTTTTTAAATGAAACCTAAGGCGATACCTGTGGGACATCTTGAATCACGACAGAATCAGGAGCGAGAGAAAAGTAACGCGCCTCGACGATGCCTGGCGGGCCTTAAGTGATTCGTCATCGAGGCGGAAAACCGCCGTATAATCGGCGAGCGGTTCGGTAAAACGAGATAGAAATTCCACCGTCGGCCCAACGTGTGGTGAAAGCTCGCGATCGGCGACCACCGCGCGCGCGTGTCCTCGCGGTGTGTCATTAAAACGTCGCAAAAAAATATAAATACGCACGTCGCTATAGAAAAATACCGGTGCTTCGTTCGAAGTAGAATCGAGTTTTGGCAAATATTTGACACGGCATTGTATTAAGTACACGAAGCCCGTTGAAGCCCCTTAAAGGGACCTGCCGGAGTCTCTCCTCCCTCTCGAGTTTTGCAGCAACTGAATCACGCGACACCAAAGTACTTTCGGCATAATACACGCTAATAATATATATATATGTACACTTAACGAGACGTCTTTTACCCGTATATCTTTTAAAACGCATTTGACATCTCTCGAAGACGCCTGCAAAGTGGATTAAAATGGCGAATTCATTCCCAGCTTCGTGCCAAATTCTAAACGCGCCCTCTTCTGGTACCTGACGTTCACTCTGCGGAGAAAGGGAACGGAAAAGTGAATTAATGTCGGGAAAGAATTGCGACAGATGTGCTTTCGAGCGACGAAAGGCAGAAGGCGGAAAGGAAGTGAACTCACTTGATCTCTTGCCACTTGATCAACTCGTTAACCGCGAACGTCAGCGGAACAGAGAGCAGAAAGAACAACGGCACGTGCATGGGGAAGTTCTCGATCCTCTTGCCCTCCTCTCGCCAAAATCTGCGAAACGCTATGCCGGAGAACACCGCTTGCGCGCACAATCTACGGATAATAACGTAATGACAGATGTATTTCAGAATTTAATATGTAATCTGGGAACTCGAAATTTTTTTTTACGGAGACTGTTATTTAATTAGATCTTTCACTTACACGATAAACACACCGAGGAACCAGATGCAATTGCTCATAGGATTTTTCTTCCATATCGAGTACTCGCGGTGCACAAAGCTGACGGATAACGTGACTGAAAGAAACGATAGATATTGATGAACTTTCAAGTATTTTATTTGTGTCGATAAAAAAAGATTTGTCGTTTTTTGTTAAAACCTGATTTAAAAGTTTGCAACGCAGTTTATTTAAAGGCAAATTAGAAAAGATTTTTATATTAAAGATTTGTCATTTTTTGTTAAAACTTGATTTAAAAGTTTATAAAGCAATTTTTTAAAGGCAAATTTTGAAAAAAAAAACGACAAGATAAAAGTACTGAAGGCAAATTCGATTAATAGAAATGGAAAAATTAAAATTGAATAATTTTCCAGAAAACAGAGGGATTTGACAAACTAAATGACTAAACTTATTGCGACGATGTGACCGGTATATTAACGACAAGGCAGAGATATGCGCTGGCGCGCGAAATTACCGAAGTGCAGGACTATGAGGGTGAGAGCGAAATGCTGCACGACCAGAACGACGCTCGGCCTGCCGCCCCAGCCGCCCCAAATCTGGTCCCGCGGGTCCGGATATATGTACAGGCACTTGGAGTTCTGCGGCACGTAGACGGGGCAGAGCGTCAGGAACGAGATGCACTGCGAGAGGATCACCGTGATCATCGTCGGCAGGAATTTGCTGCCGTAGCACCATAGCACGAATAGCGTCACCTATAATACCGTTCAACGGTGTCATCTCTGTTCTTCGAAACATCACTTGAATGTCGATAAATAATTAGTGTACACGAGATTCTTTGTCCCAACATTTTTCTCGCATACTTTACGCATCTTGAATCGCATGTATCAAAATTAAATAGCAGAGCAAAATTACAAAATTAAAAATAAAAATTAAAGATAGATTCCAAGAGCAGCATTCTTTCCTTTACAATTTGATAATCTATATAATCTATATGGTTCGAACTGAAGCACGCGAGTTTCAAAACTATGAAGCTAATGGCCTCATAGTTTTCATATCTTCGATCCTTCTTACCTCTCCGCTGACCACGCACTGATTCTTCCCGGTCGCGCGTTGCATTATCGTCGAGTCGATCGGCGTGGCGATCATGGATGTCGACAGGATGGGGATTATCAAGCAGCACAGCCAGAGCACCTGATCGATGGAGAACAGCGGCGGCAGCAGCAGAAGCGCCGACAGCGTTTGCACAAACGAGAGCGTGACCAAGCAGCACAGCCAGAATTGTATACAGTTCCATAGATTCTTCATGTAATGACGGGCCTGCGTGCACACACGAGGAAAAAGAAACGTTTATCTCGTTGCCTCGTTATCTCCCCCCCCCCCTCCCGTTTAATTTCTTCCGAAAAGCAAACACACCGTACCTCCATGATGAGGTGAAAGATTGCCACTGGGTCCTCGCGTTTCACGCTCAGCGAACACGCGACGGAGTTGAGCGCTCTGCTCAGGTCGACGGGAGAAATTCCCTGGCTCTCCGTGGTGGGCACCAACACGGGCACCTTCTGACACACCTGGGGATACAAGGGCTCCACCGCCACTCTGCGATCGGTTTACAAGCCTTTAGAGAACTTCGATACAGGAAGATCACTGAAGTTTTTTTTTTAAATCAGGGAGATCAGAAACTGTAAGGATCTTCCTCGAGCGCTTTTGTTAGAAATTTTTGAAGGATATTGCCTGGAAATTTGAGAAAATTTGGAAAGAACGACGGGAAAAAATAAGAGAATTTTCAGAGAAATTCTCAGGGAATTTCAAAGATTCACGGGGAAAAAATGTTTCATTAAGGCTTTCATTTTTGGAATTTAAAATCGCTAAGTGGCACTCGAATTTTCTGTATATGTTTAGGTGCAATTTTGCCCGCGGCTCACGTCTCTGATCTCGCCGATATTCGATCGATTAGAAGAATTACGGGAATTTACCCCGCGTCGGCCTGCATGAAGATCGGCATGTTCTCGGCGTTGGCGGAGGAGCCAAGCACGCACACCACCTCGCCGTAGTCCTGCATGATGTGCAACATCTCGCGAGTCACCGTGGTGTTGCAGTCGGTGAACAGGGACACGAGCAGCGGAACGTTGTCGATCAGCTCGATGTGCGGACGTATCTTGTCGATGCCCCTCGGCAGTTTAGCCTGTAATATATACACGCGGACGGAATGAGTTAATTTATGCCGCGCCTCGTGTCGCGAAACGTTTGTTAAGTTTAATCCAAGAAGGAGGATTAATCCGGCCTTACCCTGTTCGACAGGTCGAAGTTGACCGGCGCGCTTTGCTCGGTGCTGTCGGTGAGGCAGCTCAGGGACCTCCACGCCTCCTGCCCCGAGCCCAGGTCGACGCTCTGCACCAGGACGCTGTCCTCGCTCCTCACCGTGTCCTGCTCCCTGCTCGACAGTTTGTTATCTCTGTAGCATCGACAAACATTAGATATACCGATCGCGCGTATTCTTTTTTTTTTTCTAGAAACTTTTTTCTAATTTTTAATTCTGCTTTTAGAGATATCACGGCAACCTGTGGCTCATCGTGCTCTTGACCTGCGAGGTGCCCGTGTTGTTCCACTCGGTCGTCTCGTCGTCGAACTTCACCGTCGAGAAGTCCGTGTTGATGGCGCTCGGCGCCGACATGCTCATCGCTCGGCTGTTGTTTAGATTGGTGCTAAAAACGAGAACACGCCTTCTTAGCGGACGCTGCCCCGATCGCTTGGTCGCATTTCGCTAGTTCGTAACGGCGGGCAGTAAGAGAAGCACATCGATGCTAAGAAGCCACAAGAGAATCCGTTAAGTTCGCGTCCTTTCGGACACGGCAAAGCTTGACAAATAAATGAAAATTCTCTCGTCATGCGTGTTTTGCCATCATCGATTAATCATAGAACGCATTAGGGATTTTAAATATTTGTCTTCTCATACGATATTTCGATTGATGTTTCGTTTACATTTAAAAAAAAGTTTATTTCGATTAATGCTTTATTTAAATTTTTAAAAATTCATTTCTCTGCTATCGAAATGTTTGTAAATTTCCATTAGATACTTCGGTGCGTTCTATGGCTAATATGTTGCTGCGTTAATTTTCTTTTTCTTTCTTTGAAGCAAAGCAGAAGTCTGAATACTTCATATTTTGTACAGCATGTAGAGTGAGCTCTATTTCTATTTCGCTTGTAATCGGCGTAACGTACCGAGGTAAGACACGATTAAGCAAGTGGCTGGCCTCGTCCATGCAGGAGTAATTAGGCTGATGAGATTGGGCCGTGGGTGAGGGAGTGGGCGAGGACATGGCTGCCGCCTGGCTCACCCACCAACCCACTGGACTCTCGGACCTGATATTGCCATGTGTGTTGTTAGTTACAAGAAAAAAAAAAGTATACATATGGGCGTGTAAAATCTTCCTCGCGCGAGTAATCGTGTATATTTGCATGATCGAAATCCTCGACGGGGCGTCGACTCGCAATAGTAAATCGCACCACAAATTCGTTAAGGAGCGCACCAGTGAAAAAATGATCGTGAAATATCGAGATTAGAGAGATACAAAGAGGTAATGATAAAAATTAAATTACTGTTAGTGTGCGACTCGATGCCCTGAATAAAAAAAAATGCGATATTAGTACACACGTTAGGTATTAGAACACTGCAGCCAAAAATGATCGCGACATCATCGTCGAGATTAGTGACACCGCAGGATGTCTCGAAGAGATTCTTAAACTTAATTCAATTCTCGGAATTTCCAAAAATCTATCTGATCTGTTTGTATTTTTTTTTTTAATAATTCTCTTGATTTATTTTTAGACATAAGAAAATATCTTGACGTATATCTTATAATTTCTGAACGATTTTATTTTTAAGTAGATCGTGTAATATAAAAAAAAAGAATACACATTTGGGTTAGTCTATTTGAACCACGTGGGTATACGAACTGAATTTTCTAGTGTTCTTTTTCTCGAGGCATCCTGTGTAGCAACGAGCATGCAGATCGAGATAACGATAAGGTAAAAAAAGACGTATAGACAAACATATACGACGGGGGCATATGCGGATATCTCTCCAGCCATTGCTGCCTCCTGCAATATATACATGGACATATTTTTACACAGCCTCGGTGGCAGTTGGCTCTAACGGGAATAAGAGAATTAATGCGTCGTTAATGTGCATGCAGTGCTTCCCCACGTGCGCGTGTCCGATCCTACAATTAGCCCTTTCGAGAAAGTTGAAAATGCCTGTCTCAAATATATGTGTTACCGTCAAAACCCATAATCCGTTGAAACCCGAATTCACTAGTCAAAACTGGTATGATTGATTAGACGTAAAATCGAAAATCTATGTGTATACAATTATAGACCTCGTTTCGCCCCGTAAACAGGGGGGCGAAGGGGGAGTTGGACCTCTCGCTACGTGTGGAAAATTGAAAATCCATGTGAAACGGTATAATTGTAGACCTCGTTTCAATCCAATTTAAAACTAGTTTTAACTAGTGAAATCGGGTTTTAACTATCGTGAGTTTCGACGGTAACAGATTAATTTTTACTTCTCATTTAAAATTTTTTCTTCTCAAAAATTAGATACAAGGACCGAAAATGTCGAATCAGAGACACGGTGGGGGAAAAAAAAAGTCGCGGATATGCCCCATGAGAGATCCAAGAGACATCGAGAGGGAAACGACGACGGCACATCGCGTCCCCGTGCGACGAACGATACCTGGCGCCCTCGCTGAGCAACGAGATGTGGCAGTTCCAGCCGCTCTCCAGGCCCATCTTCTCCGAGAACACGCGCGAGCGCAGCTCGTTCTCCTTGCTGAAGTGGACGAACCTTATGCACGCCCTGTCCAGCTGCTCGATCAGTTGTACCTGCAGTGCACGACACGCGTATTTCAGTAAGCGTTCGCAGTACGAATTATAACTATTGACGCTCGCAGTAGTAGTGCCGCACCATATCGGTCTGCGCCTGATACTGCATGGTGACCATCCCGATGAAGACTTGATTGCACTGCACGTCGAAGCAGCTTTCGACGTCGCTCACGTCGTCGTCCTTGTTCTCGTTGCACAGCAAGGAATCTGAGAAGGAAGCCACGTTGTGATATTTGCGATTTAAATAAAGACAAATTAATCGAATTAACATTTAAAAAAAAAGATAAAGTATATCTAGAGCAAATAAGTAAAAAATATCCAAATTTTAAAAGAAACAATTAGAATATCAAGAAATCAAAATCAAAAATAGCAAAGCAGGAAATCGATATGATCATATTTCAGCTGTTGATGCAACATCTTAAAAAAAAAATCAAAGTTACAAAAAAACTTCCGTTGAATTAGTGAACATCAAGAAATCAAAATCAACAATAGCAATACGGGAAATTAATATGATCATATTTCAGCTATTGATGCGACTTCTTTAAAAAAATTATACTTCTTAAAAAATACAAAATTACAAAAAAAAAAAACATCCGTCGAATTAGTATGACTAGATCAACCTGTCGAATGAAACTGCCCCAGTATTCCTCGTATTCTGGGATCGAGAACGTTTCTGAAGTCCCACGGCAACGGGGTCGGGCTCCTGTGGGGCGTGTACAAGTGTTTGCTATCCGCCGGCAGCTCCAGATATATCTCGGACATCTTGTCGCTGATGGCGCGCGTCAGCGGCCGGTAAGCGAACGCGGTGCAGTACGAGGTCAAGCTCGTCCTCTGGTAGAAGTCCTGCACCTTCTTCCTGCGATGACAAAACGAGGAATCCGAGTCAAGATCATCATATAACAATTTAACTTTACGCACCAAACGTTTTAAAAATCACCCTGTTTAATAGTTTAAAAATAAACCCAAAATAGTTCATTTTGAACACTAGAATCGCCGATGGGGTCATTTTGGCTCCTAATCATTTCTTTTTCCTTTTTTTTTATATAGCTTTTCTATGCAGTACAAAATATTAAAAATATGTAAATATCTATATATTTTTTTTATGGCTCCTAATCATTTCTTTTTCCTTTTTTTTTATAGCTTTTCTATGCAGTACAAAATATTAAAAATATGTAAATATCTGCAAATAAAATTCTATTGATGCAAATAATATCGAAAGAACTCTTCGCCGGTCGAGAAAACAAGGATAGGAAATTATGAAATTGGCACCTTCGGTTAGTTAAGTTCTAGTGTTAAAAGGTTTGATGGAATCGTAGCGACGTACCTGTCTGACGCGGAAAGAGGGCAGAGATCGTGGCCGTCCCAGTACTCGATGCACGAGTCCAGAATTATGTCGGACGTGCCTTGCGTCAACAGCTGCAGACCGCCACCGCTGCGCTCCTTCACGACCACGGCGACCATGTGAGGAAACGGGAACTTCAGCTTCGTCGCGATGCTCAGCGAGCGCGCGAACTTTATGTCCCGCCTGACCATCTCCGGTTGCTGCCAGAACAAAGGGTGTCAGTCTACTTTTTTAATCGAACTTTTTTGTTCGCGTACGTTTTTTTTTTGTAGTAAAAATCACCTTTCTGTGCACAAACAATATCATTTAAAATGATGAATCTTCTAAGAAAGTTTCTTCTAAAGTTCCTTAGTTGGACTGAAACTGTTTATAAGGAACTATTCAAACTTCAGTTAAACAATTTCTGTGACTGTCAGAACGCGCGATCAATCTCCATATAATTTTGACAAAGGGTGACAGAGAGTCTCATTACGAATTAATTGATTCTAGAATAGCGTTCGCCCAAATTTAATTTTTACAAGTAAAGAAATATAAAGTAATACTCACTACATGTCTAAATGTACACAGTTGCTGCTCCAGCTGGAAGATCTTCTGCGCCTGGTCCTGAAAGCCGATTTGCTTCGCCAACTCGCACAGACATCTGCTGAAATAAATTTTATCTTGCAAATTATTTCGAAATTGAAAACCTCGCGAGAGAGAGAGAGAGAGGGGCAGGGGGGGGGGCGAAATCGCGACTGAAGAGAGCGAAGATCGAGATGAGAGATCAAGAACACGCCGTACCGTCTGTTCGTCACCGGGACCAGGTTCTCGTTGTAGAGAGCCTCGCAGGTGACGTGGCAGCAGAACTGCGTGTAGTGCTCCTGCGTGTCCATGTTGCACGTGTTGAGGAGGATCGCCAGGCCGAGCGGCTTCAGCGAGTTGAGGTGCTGCCGCCACGAGTGGTCGTCGAACTGCAGCCGGAACGGCAGCGCGTGGTCGTGGGTGAGATCCAGGACCTCGGCGGTGGAGTGCGACATATCTGCGAAGCATCGGACGTCGTTACGTCGCGCACTCGGGCCTTCTCTTTCGGGCTGTCTCTCCCCCGTCCATCCTTACCGTGCTGTACGTAAGACGTCCGGTTGGAGTTGACCTTGGTCTCCTCGGACTCCTGGTTCCTGTCGGCCGTCTTGTCCACGCTGCCGGTGCTGCAAAATACAAAAAAAACGGGGAAAGCTGTAGCCGCGCCGGTAACGCGGCTCCACCGGTTTGATGATCTCGCAAATTTGATTTACGCTAAATTCCTTCGTCTCGGGGAGGGGGAGAGGGAGCGCGGGAGGGAGCAAATTCACAAATTCCTGGACTTTTAGATATTCGGATTTTTATATTCCCGACCGGGTCCGCGTGACTATAAGGTGACTACCTCGAGCTCGGCGACAAAATATTGGAGTTACGTAGAAAAAAAACTTTCTCCGCGGTAGGATTGGGCCATGAGAGAATTCCCTTCTTATCTACGCAGCACAGTGCCTGTAAAAAAAAAAAATACACAGACTGTTATATAACGAGTTGAGATTACCAGTACTCGAATACTCAAATTTGTAGTCAATTCGTGCTGCGGTACTCACGGTTACAGAGCCCAGCACGTGCAAAATGCTCCCCGATCGCGACATCATGTGCTCGTTGCCGAAAAGAATGTCGAAGAAGTACTCCTTGAGTTCCAGCCAGTTGTACACTACGTCCGGATGATTGGGAGCATTGATGTCTGCGTCTTCAAAAGGATCTACGAACTAAATTTATTAAAATTATAAATTAATATTTTTTAAAATTAATAAGTTTTACAATTCATAAAATTACAAAAACCTCTATGGAATATTGTGTATTGTATTGCACACATGTCTAAATAGTGAGATTTGACACATTCTTATAATCTTATCGTTGCACTTGAGATATCATAGAATAGTGCAATCCTGTATACGCGTGGAATAACTATATATAAAATTATGAGATTTAACACAATTTCCTATATTTAATATATAAAATTTTATATATTTATAATACATAAAATAATATGTATTGTATATAAAATATTGTATATTAATATTTATATATATATTTATAATATATAAAATATGTTAATTTCGTATATATTTCGTAATTATATAGCAATTGATATAAAAAACGGGATTATATATATATAAAACCTCGTTTTTTAAATTAATTATTTGCAAATTGAAATAAATGCTAATGTAATTATATAGCAATTAATATAAAAAACGAGATTATATATATATAATCCTATTTTTTATATCAATTGCTATATAATTACGAAATATATACGAAATTAACATATATAGTTACATAACAATTAACATAAAAAACGGGATTATATATATATATAATCTCGTTTTTTATATTAATTGCTATATAATTACATTAGCATATATTTCAATTTGCAAATAATTAATTTCTGAATCAACACTAACCTGCAGCTTCTTCGCGGACAGATAAAGCTTGAACAGCGCTTTGAAGCGGGCCATGCCGAAGCAGTTGAGGAATATCCAGCAGGCGGGGAACACCAGCGGCAGCAACGGTAGGCTCACGGCGATCGGCTGCAGTAGAAACATCTCGCTCCAGTGGCCGGTGCCGAAGTAGTCCGTCAGGTACAGGTAACGGAGCAGATTGACGACGAGGATAACGATCACGAGGATCGGATAGGTCAGGTGCTCGATGCAGCAGATCATCAGTAGGTGACGCTTGCGATTGTAATAGGTGACCGGCCGGTCGAGCGCCTGGTCGAGCGCCATCCGCAGATTCGCCAGGTACGGCGTCTCCTGGAGCTTGTAGATCTTGCTCCGCAGCGGCACGCGCGCCTGCGGCGTGGAGAAGATCTCGTTCGCGCTGTGCACCGGCGCGTTGTAAGTCTCCCTCGCGTGCAGGACGGGCGCTTCCGGGTCCTGAAAGGCATACGATTGCAGCCGTAAGAAGCCCAGATTCTGAGGTCTGGTCGATTTGATCGAATGTTTTTTTCAGCAAAATCTCGGTGTAACTTCGATATCTTGGAAGTAATGCACGTCTATAAATATACTACTGAGTTGGGAAGAGGGTATGGTCACGCACGTTGTACGGCACGCAATATCCGGGCGCCTGCTGGCCCGGCTTCATCACGATTATGTCACCGGCCACTAGTAGAGCCCACGGCAGATTGACCACCTCACCGTCGCGATACGTCCACTGCAGAGTCAAGCACGGGGACAGCGGACTGCACAGATGCGGGTAGTTCTCGGATCTCCATTGGCACGTGGCACGCGCGACTGCAATTTTGTAACGTTCGCATATAACGCTCCCATCGCAGGAAGTTTTGTATAGGATTTATATATGCCAAACCTTTCCAGGCCAAACGTTTGAAAACTTTTTTTTTCGAATAAACATTTTTGGGATTACTTATTCAAATATTCATAATAATGTACTGTCTTAACTTTTAATAATTCTTCAAATAATTATCGCATAAAAGCAAAAAAAAACACAGTTTATCTACATTTTCATACAGTTGTGCATTATACATATAATTATTTTACATACATATAATTATTTATCTGTGTTTTTATTGACGTTTCTAAACTTTTAATTCAGAGTGTAAGAACTACAATTTATGTAAGCTAGTCTACATTTTAATTTTAAGAGAAGCTAAATATCACAGACACACAGGCAGTTTTCATTTAAATACATACCATTGAGTTGATCGAGAAGAACTTTCACTCTTTGAGGAATTTCCTCGTGTCGTAATTTGTTATCCGATACCACTAGGATAAAATTCAATACTACTAAACAACAGACTATCAGTCCTTCGTACGGCAGTGTTGAATACCTGTAACAATATATAATATATATAAATATCATTTATGGAGCTGTTTCCTGGAAACTCAAATTCTCATATTTACAATCTTTATATTCTCACATTTTGAAGAATTTTTCAAATTTTAAATTTAAGTACGAAGGTTTCTGAAAACCCTTAAATTTCTTCAGATTTTATAAGTTTTCTTCGGAAATTGGTGAATAGAAAGATTACAGAATGTAGAAACCTACAAATATTTCAAAATTCACGTATAAAAAAATTATAGAAAAGATACAGATTTTCTTAGCGTCTCTGAGATATTTCAATTCGCATTAAAAAAAGTCTGACCGGAGATTTTCTAAGCAGTTACAAAGCTGTACAGAAATTCTGGCAAACTCCGAAACTTATAGAAATTCTGCAAAATTATTCGAAGAAAGCTTCTCGCCCCAGGTGGGAAATGTGCATCCCCGCTTAGCTCACCATGTTTCATTAAATGTGAAGAACGCAACGATGAGAATAACGGCGTTGATCAGCAGGGCGATCGCGGAGGTCCAGCAGAGGGTCGTGTACTGGCTTCGGTGGTGCAGGGTGTCCTTCAGCCAGGCTCTGTACCTCCTGAACGACAAACGATCGTCGCGACATGAGTCCAAACGTTCGCATTAAACGTTCACGTGTAACCCAGATAGCGAGCCAACGTTACTTGTCGACATTTTGACGTCAAGATGACACTAATGACAGGCATTTCGATGTCAAGATCGACGACGATTCACTTGCTACAACTGGGTATACCTTCGTCGAAGTTAATCACAAGATCTCGCAGTACAAGATACTACTTGTTTCTCCTGTGGTCCTCCTCGTACTCCTGCAGAACGCGTCTGACGTCGCGGTGCAGAGTGTCCAGGGCGACGGTGGTGGTCAGGCCTAGGGTCGCCCCTCCGGGTCTCGCCTCCGGTCTGGCCTCGTCCTCGTCCCTCCTGTCCCCGCCGGTCAAGCGGTCGCCCTCCATTCTCTGCGAAAAGCACGGCCGGGAGTCAACAGGTCAGTCTCGGCAAGCCGACGTCGAGTTCGACGGGGGGAGGGAATGTCGTATACGTTGTCAGTCTCGAGCGACGCGACAACGCGATGCAATTCGATGGCTCAGATTAACAAGAATAAATACGCGCTACTGGCTTTCCCAGGAACAAGGTGAATAAATTGTAATTATTAGCAATGCGATTCCTAGCGCTTAACATCACTAAAAATCACGAAGTGAGAGATGCAGTCGAGGGGAGAAAAAAAAGTCAACGAGGAGGTTAACCTGTCACGGACTCGCTCTCGTCGGGAGAGGATCCCGGCTGCTTCCCTCCCTCGCGCTCGACACTCGAGGTAGCCGTCTCAGAATCGGTCGTGGTTTATCCCCAGCGCGGCCAGGACGATCGCATGACTCTCGGAGTCCGCTCGAAACTGCGACGAACAGCACTCAAAACATGTAACGCGCATCGCTCGCGGTTCTAATTTCTGGGGAGCGATCGCGTAGGAGAGTGGGAGAGAGGGAGGGAGAGAGACGACTGGAGACGACAGTTCAAACATACGTAATGAGTGTACAGACTATACGTATTATTATTCTAATTACTGTTTCCAAGAAAGATAAAGCACTCTTTAATAAAAAAAAAGACATTTTTTTCTTTAGAAATTAACAGAAAAGGAAAACAAAAAAATCTTTTAAAAATATAATTAATTAAAATTCTCTTGTCTTTTTAAAGTATATAAATTACAATACGGCACATAGTCGGAACGATATGTGCTGCATTTTACTTTAAACAATGTAATGTATCGTAATGAATAATGTAATCTACATTTAAGTATTATTTTATTATTATATAATATATATGTATTTTTAAAATTATTGACTCATATTGGTTTGACGGTATCATCATTATCAACAAGTCGGCAATGACGATAACAGTAAAATAAAGTGATAAAACGTGGAAAATTCTGCAATGTTTTAAATAATTTATAAGGTTATTATGAAATTATATACTGAATTATTTTTTTAAGGTAAAAAGTAAAAGATTCACTTTCGTGTTTTATTTATGAGATTATTATGAAACTATATTCAATTATTTTAAGATAAAAATTAATAAAACCTATACATATATGTTAATATATTTCATTTAGATTATTATATTATATTAAATTACTTTAATATAAAAAATAAAAGAAATAGAGATATTTTACATATATATGATGGTTTATCTTTTATTATGTTCGTATAAAAATTATATTGTAACGTATAATATGTACATAATAGAAATGCATAAGTGTATACATATATCAATGTAATATACAGTATATCGAAGACGGTTTGTTGTCCTTCTCTAGCTCTCTTTCATTGTTGGAAGAATCCCATGAACATCAGCAAGTACTGATACAGCAGTACAATATCGACATAAATCTGCGTGGTCGCAAAAACGACCTCGTCGGGGTTCAATTCTATCCTGCGTCCACCCATGATCGTCTGCACGTCGAAGTACAAATACTGAAAATACACAGAACACAATTTTAATCATCGATTCTCGCTTGTCTACTTAACTGATTCATCTACATATATTGCAGGAAATTATCAATGGTTTTTCCGATTGATTTTCGCAGTAGGCGCAGAAAATGCAGAAATGCGATGAATATATATATATATATTTTTTTTTTATACTCATCTGTTTCATTTATTAGTTTTATCTATTTTAGTCTATTTATTAATATATTTTAATAATTTGTTGCACAAATTGTTACATTGAATTAATATTAAAAATTGAAATTGATAGAATTGAAATAAGTTAAAGTTTGCAATTAAATTGAAATTAACATTGTAGCTCTTGAAAGTAAATATTCAATTTTGAAAACCAAAAAATTAAAATATATAGACGTTGATGATTAAGAGTTTTTACAGGAATCCTTTTACAGGAAAACAGACTGACCATGCACAGCAGGAGCGTTCCAATGATAGCGATTACCAGGCGTAAAACTAGTACATGAGTGAACAGCAAGATTATTAGCACCGTAAAAATGGCTACGATCGCAACCAGCCCAATCACCATCAGCAAACCCGGTCTCATTGTCAAGTCAAACTGCAATCTCATTATAATAACGGTTCTTGTCATTTATTCGGTCTTTCTTTCCTTCTTCGCCTAACAGATGACTTAAGATAAATGCAAATAAATTTAGAAAAATATAACGAGCTGCATATTTGCGATAAAAACCGAGTTTCTGTAAAATATCAAAAGAAAATTAATTAACGTAAAGTTTTTGCAGTATTTGTACGTTGAATCAGGAAATAATGTAATATTGAATTAAAAAATATTAATATGTACAGTAAAAGAAAAATAAAAGAATAGGAAAAAAAAATTAATGTCACATTTTAAATATTTCAATGTAACGCCGTGTGTATCAAATCAGGAAATATCGGAACGTAAAATTAAGTGACGTCATAATCATAGAATGAGACAGGACTACCCTGGAGAACGTTGCTACAAGAGCTATGATCGTCGTGACGGCGGCGGTCATGCCCATAACGATGAGGATCACCTCGATGCTGTAGAACACGGAGACGAAGGCGGACAGGTACGACATTGCCAGCGTCTGCGATTCATGAGAGATTTAACTGGATTAATTCTGATTTACTTGCACCACCCCCGTTTTGAATGAGAAGTAGAAGAAAACTGGTACCAGCAGGCAAAGGCAGATGTAATTGAACGGTGGCGTTCGCCTGGCGTGCACCGAGCAGGCCACAGCGCAGTACGAGACGATGAACAACACCCTAAAATGCGAACGTTTTAATTAGATTAAAGTTTGCAGGATAAAAGATACAATTAATTATCACTTTAATAAATCCAAAGATTATTAATTAAAAATACGAGTTCTTAGATCCATATTAAATAAATAGAAATAAGCTCGAATCAGATAGGGATTTTAACGATATATTATAATAATATAAATTGATATGATCACATATTATTATGTTATATATTTTACGTTAATGTATAAATGCTAAACACTATAATACACATATTATATTGATGATATATTATCTAAGCGATTCATCTTACATGGCGACGATCCACAGGTACCAGTGCACTATCATGAACTTCTGCGCGTCGTCACTGAAAAGTAATTCGTAGGATCACAACGGTAATGCAGCAGAGCGAAACGATAAAGAAACGGAGGGCGGAGAGCGTCCAGAGATGCGATTTCGCAGCAGCTTCCGCGCGATCGGAATTCGACTCACATGAACATGAAGATGGATATAACGAGGATGGTGAATATCAGCTGCAGCGTGAGGAGGCAGAAGACCTTGCGGACGAAGCTCCTCCTGACGATGATGTCCTTGAAGTCACCGATGAACTCGTTGGCATCGTCCTGCGGCAGCATGTTTCTCCTGCGCTGCTCCCGCACCCAGGCCTTGTACAGCTCCAGGTTCTCCCTCTCCCTATGCGCCACCATCTCGTCGGTCACCGTGATCATGTACGGCCCCTGGAATTGGGAATTAGAGTCGAATTGAATTGAAAATTGCTCGAATCCTCTCGATTGCATTGCCTCTAACATTTATTTTATTAGAAATACATGTTAGAATTGAATTGAAAATTGCTCGAATCCTCTCGATTGCATTGCCTCTAACATTTATTTTATTAGAAATAAATGTTAGAATTGAATTGAAAATTGCTCGAATCCTCTCGATTGCATTGCTTCTAACATTTATTTTATTAGAAACAGAAGTAATGCCAGTTATTTATTAGAAATAAGCGAGGAGACAGTCATTAAAGGAAAGCCCAACTTATCGGAACGATTTAGATAGAGAGAAACTGTAGAAAAATGTAACTATATCAAAGATTTCTTTTACAGAATTTTTGAAGCGATATGTAAATGAAGTTATGGGCAAATTTTGGTAATAAATTTAACGATACTGAGGATTAAGACATTTAAGACCTGCTGTTTGCGCGATCGAAACGTCACTCACGCTCTTTATTTTCTGGCCCTTGATTAACGGCGGCAGCTGCGGGGGGCCGGGGATAGTATGTGGAATCCGCTGTTCTTCGATATCGTCGGACTGCATTGGATAGGCCGAATCGAGCTGCCCGTTAACATGTATCAAACCTCCTCCTCTCCGATTTTCGGTGGTGTGTTAAACCCAACAGTACCTAAACATGCCTAATCGTACACGCCGAATCTATCGCGATCGCAGCTACGATTGACAAATGAAGGCACAAGCAGCGCAACAGTCGCATTATAAAATATCGGCAGATGCATAATTAGTATTAATATTATTTTAATTATTTTTATTTTATTTTTAATTAATATTAAAGATATTATTTTAGACATATTAAAAAAATGTTATTTGCGTAATGAAGACCTCACTCTTTTTCTGGTAATAGGGCAATAAAAGTGCGCGGCGAATAAAAAGTTAAATAAACGAATCGAGTAGCGGGAAGGATTGCAATACGAAAGAGGAGGCAGAATGTACCGAAAATATTTGTAATGACTTTATTAAGCTCTGCAACAAAAAAATACAGTTAAATTAATTAAATACATAATAAGCACGGGGTGTACACTGTAAGTAACAAATACGTGTAAGTTGCGTCGCACAAGTAAAATTACGTTCTTTCACTTTGGCTTTAAAACCTTCAAAGGAGTCGAGCGGAAAAAAAGAATTACAACAGGCTCGATTACGTTAATTGCTGTACAATTTAAATAACTCCGTATCCTTACTCCTTAGATCGGTATTACAATTCTAATTAATTACATTAATTAGCGTTAAAAAGAAGAAGTTAAAACGAGGTAGAGGTATCGCCGATGCACAAAATCGTCTCGGGATCGTTTTTTTTTTTTAAAGCTCAGTAATAAAATTTATTACGTTCTCAACGATGGCGTCCCTAATCGACGGCATTTTATAGCGCGAATACTACTTCAACATTCTCGCCGGACGCCGGGTAGATAATCAAGCGTTATCGTTACTTTGTCAATTAACACAGTACGTATCGCTTGACGCGATGACGTTACGTATGCGATATTTACAATTAGCGGCGCGTTAGCAGGGGGTGGGGGGGGGGCGGTGGAGGGGCTGCGTTGGATAAAGCTAACTTCCTACAAATATAAAACAACACCGGTTCACCGGACTTCGATAAAAAATCTGCATAATACTTCAACAAGTACATATAGAAATGATTTTATTGTACTCTGCTAAATTCAGTTGATTTGTCGAAGAGATTCACTTTACGTCTGTCATTTCGTCTCGCTTCAACTTGTCGTACGGTCGCCCGCTCGTGATTTCGCGGCGAACCTAAACTCTTAATACGATACGATGGGAAAAAAAAAAGGGTAACTCTGGCGTGACTAAAACGATGTTCGTGTTCGAACGCTATCCTATAAATATAAATTCGAAAAACACTACTTTTTCTCTTCTACTCTCCTACATTGCAACTGTTAGCTTGGTACAAAAGATCTTTCTCTCCGAAGTTCCATTTGTTATAAAACATCGACTTTAATCTCTTTAAGAGAGACTGACAAATTTCTCTTTGCGGGCGAAGGAAAGTGTCGGAGAGAGCCGAACATTTTACTGTATTGATAAAAATCTATCTTAAAAAAAATTACTTCGCTATACAAAATATTTCGTTTTCAGCTCTATTCGACGAATTGCGACGAATCTTTTGCACCAATCCAACGTCATTTGCCGCTCGGTAATGGTACCGACAACGAAAATAGTTCTGAACAACACTGCGCGGTGAGAAGTAAGAAAGATCTCGTATTTACGTCCTATCGCCGTTTCTTGATAACAAAGTACATAAATTAGTGTCCCTTTGTCGTTGCGATTACGCAGCATCAGTCTTATAAATAGTGTCTGTAGAAAATGTGTCTATAAATTGTGCGAACTTGCCCGCGAAGCGTTCCGGAAGCAAAAAAGCTCGGTTTGCTCTCTCTCTCTCTCTCTCTCTCTCTCTCTCTCTCTTCTCTTGTCCTTTCTTCTACAGTTCGAAACTGCTCGTTTCTTGCGTTTGTGCGTTGGTGTGTTATACTCTGGATTGATTAATCTGCTCCTGTATTTTACTGCACAGCAACTATGGGAGAGACAAAGAGATCAATAGAGCTGATAATAGATAGAATGACAATAGAGGCAACAGATAAAGACAATCGTGTGAGATAATAAAATATAGATATATATCGAATATATATATATATATATATATATATATAAAATGCAATGAAAAATTAACGTGACGCGTTTACTACTTTTGCAAAATTATGTAACTAGCTAGCGAGACACGTACCTGTTTGATATTATGATCCGTTATTAAAAGTATCTTTGACTGATCGGCACTGCCGAATAGGCCACCGAGTTTCTTTCTCTTACTAGCGTCCTTAATAAAAATCTGTACACCTTTCTCTACGACTTTCGCCGGTTCGCTGAATTCGTTCCAAGTGTGAGTCCAGTCAACCTAAAGAAAAAAAATAGGATAAATTGCTAAAAAATAAATACATTGCTGTCTCTTTTAAGAAAAAATCCACGAAAAGAGATAATTGATCAAAATATAATAAATACTAATAAATACTGATAAATATACTAATAAATATAATAAATACTAATAAATACTGACCCGCCAGCCACCGAACAAATCGCTGCGTTCGAGGTACGATAATCTTTTGTCGGTGAGCAGCAGCACGTCTTTGTTGATGAATACGTGGTAGACATAAACATCCGTGTGGGCGTATTTTCCCTTTTCCAGCTCCTGTGAAAGAGAAATCTTATATGGAAAACTCGGAAGGCTTTCTCGCACATAAATACGTGTAAATAAATTATTAAACTTTGTTATATATAGCAAGATTATTCTTATGTAATAAAATTTAATTCTACATAACTTTTACAGAGAATATTTACATTATTTATAAAAAAAATATTTCTCTAAAGAACATCTTAGTTTCTTTATTCATTTATGTGTAATATTTATAATAATCCTATATAAATTAATGTTTTCTGTAAAAATGTATTATTATAATAGACTAAAAACAGATTATCTATCTAAGAAATTTGAAGAAATATCAAAAAGTCTTATTGTTAGAAGAACTCTTACCATCAGTATTTTGTTGCCATCGGCTTCGTCCTTTATGTACGGCCTAACGAGGCTGTCAGGCTGCAGAAATCTGGGCGATCGTACTCTCTTTGCTTCCTCACTTAGCTCGGTGGCTCTGAAACGAATGTTGCAATGCATACTCTCTATCATATTGCACAGATTAACAGTCAATTTACGAACAATTCCAAACTTGAATTAATTGTCTTATTCGTTAGTCAAGTTAAGGCTGCTTTCCTGCATAATCAATCAAGTCATACCGTCTGACAGCTCCAAAGGAACCACTTGCAAAGTCGATAACACCAGCGGTAGGCCTAGTGACGAGTCCAACAACGCCCTTTCCAAACCCTTTGAAGAATCCCTCCACTCCCTCTTCCTTCGCTCCCGACAAAGGTTTCATTACCACACCCGTTACGCCATCGACTACACCCTGTCAAGTGAAATAAACCATTCGTATAGATATGTTAAGTTAATCGAACAACAGACTAATTAATCGACGATCTTACCATTACTAAACCTTTCCCGCTTCGTGCGAGACCTTCTTGCAAGTTGGCGGGTTGCTTGTTGAGCTGTTCTAGCCTCTTTCGCTGGTAATCCTTGTCGAAGGTCAGAGCAGCTATACCTTTGCCTGCAAAATCATAAATAATAAAATAAATAAATAATCCGTCTAATTCCGATAGCACGACTAATTAATTGTAAATAGTAATTATATAATTATATAATTAATTTTAACGTGATTTACATTTAACTTTTACAAAAAGAAAATCTTTTTAATTCTTTTTCTAAACAGTTTTTTCTTAAATAGAATTTATTAGAATTATTCATTAAAATCTTTGCTTCAAAATATGTTTCAGAATCAATATATTGGCTTTCTCATTCTGCGTAAAAGTTAAAATGATGATAATTTAAATATACTATGTATAAAATAAAAAATCGTGAAAAATTAACTTATATTAAGCAAAATATAGATATTAAACAAATAACTGAAAAAAAAAAATTTTTTTTGAGAAAAAACGAGGCTGTTTTTTTTCTTAAAAAAAAAACGTATTTTTTATATTATTATCGTTGCGATTGACCACGCGTTGCAATTGATCACGTTGCGATTGCCCACGCGTTACAATCGACTACATTGCAATTGCCCACGTCGATAATAATATTAAAAAACGTATTTTTTATATTATTATCGTCGCGATTGACTACGCGTTGCAATTGGCCACGTTGCGATTGACCAAAAATAAATTGACAAAAAATTCAAATTTGAATTTTTTTCTAATTCCGATAGCACGACTAATTAATTGTAAATAGTAATTATATAAATATATAATTAATTTTAATGTGATCTACATTTGACTTTTACAAAACGAGAATATTTTTAATTCTTTTTCTAAACAGTTTTTTCTTAAATAGAATTTATTAGAATTATTCATTGAAGTCTTTGCTTCAAAATATGTTTCAGAATCAATATACTGGCTATCTCGTTCTGCGTAAAGGTTAAAATGATAATAATTTAAATCTACTATCTATAAAATAAAAAATCATGAAAAATTAACTTATATTAAGCAAAATATAAATATTAAATAGATAGCTAAGAAAAACAAAATTTTGAGAAAAGAACGAGACTTATGTTTTTTCTACAAAAAAAAACAATTTGGTTTTTTTCTATTTACATCTCTATATATATATATATATATATATATATTAAATTAAAACTTAAAAAATAAAAAAATTCTCAAATGCTAAAAATTACCAACTAAACATAATCATGTAAACTTTTGCGATATCTTTTGCGCAGACGAATACAAGAATAAATCTATAACTTTTTCAAGTCAAACATAATTTAAAAAACTTGATGTGGAGATGCATACCCATCGCTCCTGTGATCTTCGACACAGCGCCCGCCATCCCGCCGACGGTATGGCCCAGCATGCTACGCACCCCGAGGAACAGGCCCTCCGCGAACTCCCCCGGACCCTGTATGGCCCCTTGGAAGGGTTCGTAGAACAGGTCCTCGATGCCCTTCATGGTCCCGACCACGAGCCCGTACGGATTACCGATCACATCGAGTCCCAGCACGAGCACGTACGCCTGCTTGATCGCCTGGCCCGCGTAATGAGTGCTCGCCTCGGAGACGAGCTGCTTGTGCGTCATGAACACGTAGTTTCTCTCAAAGTACGCCAATCTGTATCAACAGAAGAAACGCTTAGAATCCTATATAATACGAAAATCACAGAGCAAAATTTTTATCCTTAAGAGATCGTGACCTAATCGTGATCTGGTATTTTTTTTCTAAAAATATCTCTAATTATATCAAGTTAAGGACCTTACTTGAACACAATGTCGTTAATATCCGTCAGCGTCACGCCGATTCCTTGCAACAGCACGTTGAGCACTTGCGGCAACGCGGAGGGCCCTCCACCGCTTCCGGTCATTGAGAAACTGATGTGTATCTGCGAACAAAGAAAGAAAAAAATAAACAAATAAAAATTTGACTGTCGTTGACAGAGTTTATAAATATTTGCAGTTTTTATATCCGCATAGTGAAACGCGACGCACCTTGAGGGGCGAGAAGTGCAGCAGATCGAAGAAGTTCTTCTGCTCGGCCGTGGTGATCAGATTGACGTGATACATTAACGGTTCGTTGACTAGCTTCATGTCAGTGCGGAATAAAGCGCTCTGAAACAAACGAGCAGGATAAGATCACCTGTGTACAGTTGCGGACATCAGTTGCGACACTTTTTTTCTTAGGTTTTTTAGCATATATTTAATATATATCTATATAATATATATTTTATAGACAACTAATATTTTGCAAATGCGAACCACGACGGTGTACTATCTTTAGTCTAGAGACAGTATAACACCAATCGTGGTTCGCATTTGCAAAAAATATTAGTGCGTTTTAAAATCCATTAAAAAAAAAAAGTGTTGCAACCGAAATGTATCCACGACTGTACAAGTCCCAAAACGATCTAAATAAGATTCGATATCCTCGGCGTCTCTCACCTCTTCCGCGTCGTTGGCCTCGTTCGCCTCGAATAGGCCCATTATCGCGTTTATGAAAACGATGTCCACCTTGATGTGGAACTCTTGTACGAGAACCTTGAAGTAACGGAACTGCTGCACGGTGCTGTGCTCCAACAGGCGCTTGACCATACTGAGCTCCGCGAAAGGTTTCATGACTACAGAAAGAAACAAAGAATAGAAAAAATTTATAAATCTTAAAAAATTCAGGACATTACATTTCAATAAAAGTATGCACACATGATTAAAATTAAGATATCACGAGAGCAATAAAAGAAATTTTTGTTCTTGCGTATTCATGTGGATAACAAATACCTGTACTTTGCGTAACGCTCTTCGGCGGTGGCACCGGCGCCAATATAACTGGGAATACGCACTCCGACAACTGATTGTCGATCTGAAGCTTGTTGATCTTCGCGTGCAGCTGCACCTGATGCGCCGAGGTACGGTACTGCAGCCAGAGACCAGTCTGAAATGTGCGTCGCATGTACCGACGGTGTGGCTTGAGCATCTCCATATTCAGATAATCCACCTGAAGAACAGTAAAAAAAAAAAATAATAATTTAAGAAATTGTCACGTGACAGACGCTTCTTCTCGTCCAGAAAAATCAAGATCTAAGCTTTAAAAACTTCAATTAATTGTAAGCGAAAGACTTTTTGTTTTACCATTAGTTTCGGCTCCAGCATCATCCGGTAGTCCGCGTCCGATTTGCCGATTTGCAATTCCCTCATGTACCGCTGATATCCCTCCTCGATGGCGTTGACTTCCTTGGCACTTAACGCTCGCCATCGGCCGCCGATGGACTTACGCGTCTCCCATATGATCCCAGAGCTAAATTACGACAGAATCTCATTAAATTTTACACGATCACGAAGAGAGTAATTATCATTTCGTTAAACAATATTGAATTCAAAGTTGTCAATTATTGTGTAAAAATTATATAATCCATACAATTTTAAGTAGTTAATTTTAAGAGTAAAATTATGTTCAAAATATAATTTTAATTTGAAAAAAAAAAAAAAGAAAGAAAGAATTACAGGGGTTTAATATTAAAAGAGCTGCGGTACCTGGCGATGCACATGTACAACAGCTCGGACCTGGTGATGTTGTTCACGAGGGAGAACCCGATGCCGTGGATGTTCAACGTGATCTCCTGATCGATCACTTCCAGGTCACCGGCCAGCTGACAATCCTCGGCGATCTTCAGATTCGCAGTGAACAGCAGCACTCGCTGCGTACCGTCCAGGAACGAAACGTAGAACAGCTTCTCGTCGACTTCCGGCAGTTGAAAGGTGCCGAGATTGTCCTGGAGAAAAAAAAAAAACGAAAAACATCGCGTTCATTCGTACTCTCTGTTCCTAGCGAACGCGCTTCCCCTCGCTTTCCCTCTTCTTCGTTTTACCTTGCGAAGATTGTCATCGATTTCTTTGCCGTTGTTATCCTCCCAGACCAGCTTTCGCGGACCCGCCGGATTCTCCCAGGTATAAAACATTCTGTTGTATGACTGTATCGACCTGTCGAGCACGCGTTCAGTTAATGTCACGCAAAATATATAAAGCGATTCCGACGTCATTCCGGCGTCGAAGTTTAACCCGATCTCTTCGGCGCGCATTCTCGACGTACCTAACGTTGATCGAACCCTTCTCCCACAGATTGATGGTGTGCGGCGTGTGGTTGATGATCAATGCCGGCGCGTTGCCCGGGCTGTAGGCCGACATGGAGATGTAAACGCCGCCCTCGCTGATTTGCACGTCCACGTTGATCCCTCCGTACTGCAAAGGGTGCAAAAAAAAAAATCCGTTAGAAATACAAGACGCGAGAGACGAGGGTCCGTTCCAGTTACTTCTAATTCTAGCAGTTCGTAGATAAATTATACACGCAATATACACTTGTAATTATTATTATTATTATTCTGTTATTCAATTACCTTATTGTCCAGTTTCAGCAGAGTCGTGTGGCTGTCGGTGTAAATGAACGCCGCGGTTTTCTCGGGTTGACCGGCGACCTTGGCCTTCAGAGTCTTGTTCTCGTGCTCGGTTCTGGACCACAGGGCCGCGCACTCGCCAGGCGGCACCTTGGGCACGTAGCAGCGACATTAGCGCGATATTTCGCTAAGATCATTAAAGCGACACGAGATAAATCGTTTGCATTTAACATACTTTGATCGTCGGATCGGCCGGCCGATCGCCCTCCTGGCATTCTATGAGGAAATCTGCGTTGTTGATAAGGATGTAATAGGGCGTGAACGTGATCTGCTTGGTCAACGAGTTGTACGTCAGTTGATTGTGCACTCCGATCTGCAACGGAATAACCAGAGTTTTGTCGTTTATATTTTCTATTCCTTGGGCTTCCCCTTTATTCCCTTTTTCACTTCTTTAAATGGATAACATAATTTTTTTCTATCAATAACTTTTCATTAATTAATAATCAATTATTATTTTATAAATAGCTCAATAACGCTTTCTTCCAGTTAAATTATTTATTATATTACAATATTATTGTAGCTATTAATAGATACGCTTTAATAAATAGGAAAAAAAAAGGTAAAAAGAAGATGATCGACATAGAAACCTGATATATCATTCCATTGTATTTGCAGGCCACCATGCCCTCGCTGCCCGCGACGTCAATGGAGAATTTATCGGACCACTCTCCGTCCTCCACTCTGATCATGGCCTTCTTCTTGCCGAAGAAGGCTTTGGAGCGGAACGAGAACAGAATAGGCCCCTTGAAATGCTCCGGATGGTACAAGACGTTCAGGTAATCGTCCATCGTCTGGAAGCGAGCGAATCGATTGTAAATTAATCCCGACGTTCGTCCCAAGACAATTTTCTCCATTATGTCATGCAGTTAATAAGAACAATTAAGTAGCAAACACCTCCGTTAATGTTGGCTGGTTATACAAACTTTGTCGATTTTGCGTTGCAATCAGGATGTTTTACGTCCAGTAGTTTAAAATTAAAGAAAAAAGAAAAACGCTGAAAACGCTCCAGGATCGAAGGGGATTCGCATGTTTAAGGGCACAGCGGACGTTAAAAAAGATCTTAATAGAAGTATGAATTAAATGAGAGTACAGGGAGAGCGAAATGAAAGAGAACGAAAAAGTGAATGGCGTGTGTTGATTAAGCACAGTTAGACACGATGACGTTAGCTAGTGTTTATTTACATGATGAATGCGAGTTAATATTTCGTTAAGATGCAACTGTTAAAGATCGACACATGGATTGAGACTAGACACAATAGATAATCTAACACAGTTTTCAGCGGCCGGTTTCAGTCCCGAGCGACCACGACTAGGATCAGACGACTGTTATGTATTTGTTTCAACAACGATCGAGGTCTTGCGAACACAAGCGAACACGAGAACAGCGATATATATTGTGAAATAAATCGTCACCGCGCGCGTTTTCCTCTTCCTGTACTGCGCGCGCCGATGCCGATGGGGTTTCATAGCGCAAACGAACTTCTGAAAGACGTTCGCACGTACATTTTCACGATAGAAATAATCGTCAAAGTAAAAAAAAAAAAGAAATAAAAATTTGATTCGACAAAATGTGATAAGTGCTCGTAAAATATTATCATTACAATTATTACTAAGTAACTCTCTACATTTTCTGAAGTGAATCTCACTTCAAAAGACTGAAAATACTGCCACTCGGCCACTCGAGTGGCAGTATTTTCGCTCCTTGGGGTGAGATTTCACTCCGAAAAATTTAGAGAGGATGTAATAATCTGGTAGAATTAAACAAAATTCTGACAGCTAATTCTCAGCTAATTCTGCTAGTGTAATATATACAAGAGAATGACTATTTGCGAAAGGCACAATAATAGCGGCACCATAACGAGGAAAGCTCTACCTTGATCGGACTCGAGTGCTCTTTGCCACCCTTACTTGATTTCTGTAAAATAACGGAGCATGTTGAATATATATATATATAGGGTACGAATCAGGCAAGATGCAGTGCTGGGTTAGTATTTGGCGGTACGGTAACGAAAAGGGCACGAGAGGGAGGCTGAAGATCGGGCGAAGAAGCAAACGTTAGCATATATGACGTAATATAATAACATAGTTCGTATCAAAATGACGAAGTGCATATCAATAAAGAATTCCACAAGTTCGATGCAAAAAAGGGGGGGGGAGGAGTGCACTCTATAAAATGCGATTAATACTCGAAAATCTTTGGGGGGGGGGGAGGGCTTTAAGAAATTCTCTGGCAGATGTGTGTGAAGACTGATGTAACAAATTTGCGAATTGTATCGCGCAGAAGCAGAGTTACCAAAAGCGGCGAGGCTATATCGTCGCAAACGTACTCTGTAGGACAGCATTAAACCGGTCTTGTTCAGCATCCAGAACGGGCAGTACAGCGCCATGACGATCGAGCCGTGTTTGTAGGACGTGTGCATCCCGAGGTCCAGAACGACTCGCTGCGCGCTGTCGAAGGACTCGAACGACCAGACGGCGAACTCCGGCGGATTCGCCACGATGTCGCCTTGGCACGACCAGTCTTTCTCCAGATAATTGGGCAGCTGCAACACGTAGCATTCGCTTCAAGTAAATAAATCGCAAGTGCGTTGTATATTTTCATTAATAAATAATTGCAATTAAATTATTAATTAATTTATACATTATTAATTCTATTATAGGAATTAAATTTATTATTATAGGGAAAAATTATTAATTATATTATAGGAATTTACTATTGTATTAATTAAATTTTTACTAATTTCACGTGCATTTCACCTTAATTATTATATATGACTTGGCCGGGTCGATCGTAGGAAGTTGCAGGGAGGCGCTTGCCTCGAGCAAGCTTTCCTGAGCGGTGCCGGGCAAGCAGATGATAATGTCGATCGGTAGGAAGTTCTTCAGATACACAGACGGGTACAGGTGCACGTTGTAGACGGTACTAGCCATGGTGTGGCGAGCGGTATTCTCGAAGTACACCTGCTCGATCTCCCCCACGGCCTGCCACAAACGGACATACCATGTTATTCTATTGTTTATTACTAGCTAAGAATATTCGTCAATCATTTGATTAAACTCGACGAAGCTGTCTGCGTCTAAGACGACAAGCAACACACATTTTTACGCATTATGAAATTATGTACGGAAAGAACATTGACCTGGATGTAAAATGGCTCTGCGGCGTCCCGCTTAGATCGCGACTCGCATTTCAATAATTTCGTCATGGAAACGGTTTTCTGCAGGTCCTTCCAGATGAACGGCTCGACCGACACCATGTATCTAAAGTACATTAGATCTAGTCATTGAAAAACTTTGCGTGCCCAAAAGTTCCACATCGTTATAATATCTTATAAAAATAAATATATTTAATTCTAACGTGTTACATATTATATATCTTTCGATTTTCTATTATTACTCAACATTTATGTTATCTTATATCCACAAAGTTTTGTTGAATGGCTTTGTGCGATAGTCAAGATGAAATAACGTTACAAGGATGTGAAAAAAAAAAAAAATGTGAGCGTACCCATCGACGCTGAAAAACAGCCAGTAAATGTTGGTCGGGGTGTAAACGGCGTCCAATGGTAAATTGAGCTTCTCGTCCGGCGCCACCGTGCCCACGCACTCCACCTCATTTCCGCGCTTCGTCATATAATAAACGGATATCGGCTGCGCGAAGTGATTGTGGACCTACGACGCGCGGGTTAGCTGATTATTATTACACTGACTTACAAAATAATTCGTTTACTCCTCCACCTTACCTGAAGAACGCTCCTAAGAGTCACGATCGTGCTACCCTCTTCCACAATAATGTCCGACACGATGCCCCATTCCTCGGAGCCGTCCTTTCGATGCCTCAGAGAGAAGAACCGCCTGTCCGCTCGTAGCACCGGTATCGCCAATTTGCCTTGAATACCTTTAAACTGTTAAATATCATCGTGTTACGTCGATTGTTGCGAATGTCTGTGAAAGTTGTCGCTTTCAATCGCTTGTCGAGAACTGTCGTCGAAAAATTGAACCATCAAGAATTATTATTTAAAAATTGACCAAACAAAAATTGACTCAAATATAACAATATTGAGAGCTTTATTTTCATCCAGGGACGATTGACTCTTTCGGAATTATCAGAGAATCGTGAATCTTTACAATTCTGCCCACGTCTATAATAACCGTTAAATTATCGTATTATAATATCATCGTCGACTGTTGTTGAATGTCTGAAAGTTGTCGCTTGTCGAGAACTGTCGTCGAAAAATTGAACCATCAAGAATTATTATTTAAAAATTGACCAAACAAAAATTGACTCAAATATAACAATATTGAGAGCTTTATTTTCATCCAGGGACGATTGAGTCTTTCGAAATTATCAGAGAATCGTGAATCTTTACAATTCTGGCCACGTCTACAATAACTTACGGATATGGAGAATCTACTGTCTTCCCTGTCCTTCACGCTCTCGACTTTCAACTGCTTAAGAAGGCGCGCGTCGTCGTACTTGGATGTCTTCGGCGCCAGCTCTATCGACGCACCAGTCTCGAGGATCACTTCCATATAAGAGTCATTGTGGTCCCTTATTCTCGATCCGTCGTCGAAAATCTGTAAAGATCATCATCCTTTGTGATTTAATGAAACCGTCGATATATTTTAAAAGTTATATTGAGGCAGATGAGCGGATAAGTGAAAATTCAAGATTCCCCTCGTTATAACGACCTTGAAGAGACTGTGCTCCAGATCGAGTACCATCGCCAGGCCGGTCTCGTTCTTCAGCACGTACGGCGCCATCTTCCTGGTGGGCCCTTTGCCGCTCGCCTCCATGGCCGAGGAAAATGACTGGCCGAGTTGCTTCAGAACATCCAGACACGTCTTCGTCACGGTTATCTCCAGATTATCCTGCCCCGAACAAAAGAGAGACAAAACTTACAATCCTTTCGATGTAATTTTGCAATAATATCGCTGGCCGCGATAAATCTTGTTTGAACGCAAATTCACACAGAAATTTTTTTGTTACTTAAAAATTGATCAAACACTCAAATAGTATCTGTAATCTAACATCTATATCAATATTTGATATTTTATATCCCGATAAACTCTTATCAATGAAGAATTCCACAATGAAGTTTGATGCTAAAAAAGGGGGGAGGGTGCACTCTTTGCTTACAGAGGACGTGATGTCGATGGACATCTTGGTAGACTGGTGCAGCTCTTCCGGTTCGCTGTCCGAGATGGGGCTGATCGCGCTGGCGCCTCTGGAGTCCAGCATTATGTCGTTAAATTGGATCTAGCAAACGAATCAACGATGTCAATCGATGAAATATTTTGACTGACATAAATAGCGTATAAAGAATGCGACGGGTTACCTTCGTTTTCAGTTCCCACGGCGTCGAGACGCGTTTACCGCTGTCGGAGCTTTCTATCGGCTCGATGAGCGGCTCCCACAGCGCGAGTCGGCTGTTGTAATACGCCATGATCACCGACATCGTGCAATCCACGCTCATCTGCAAGCACGTGTCACGTAGACCACAATAAGAGGAGAATAGCGATGATAATAATAAATAAATAAAAAAAAAAGGAATTTTCATAAACAGCTTACAGATTTTGTGCTCCAATCGTTGACGTTGCTTTGGAAACCCACATGAAGCAGCAACATCGGCAGAGTTTTGTTGCCGACACCCGCCTCCAGGGTGAACAGGATCGTCGGCGCTGAGACGAGGGCCAATTCGGGTTTATAGGCCGCTGCAACCTCGTCGTCCGGATACATAAACTCTTCGAGTGCTTCCATCGCGACTTCTGAAACAAATTGCAATACAACGAATTTAGCAAATGAAAAATAATTAGCAATATCTTTTCTGCACAACGAATTAATTAGGTCAAGTAGCTTATTATTAACCTGTTTTCAGGAACCAATAATTAGTCTCCTCGAAAGGCGTGACGATCCACAATCCTTCGTAATTAGGCTCGGGCTTGACGACCTCCTTGTCCTCCTCCTCCTTCCTCGTCACCGTGTGAATGACCTTATTCAGTATTTCGATCACACCTGCAAATTGTATCGCGTTGCATTTTTACCGGATGCCAACTATCAGTGTGGCAATTCACGAATTACCTGGCGAAACAGAGATGTGTACGTCCGTGCACCGGACCTCCAAATGAAGCCCTTTGCCTTCTGGCGTGGAACCGGCTACGCTTATGCTGCACGGCCTCAAGACCTACGATAATAATTAACGATGACAATTTAATATAGATACCATAGAGCACGGGTTATTTCACGATCTTGACTCAACAACTTAATAACTTAACTAAAGGATTTAATAAAATAGCAACAAAAGGCTAATGAGAGTTTTCGGCGCGGTAAGTAAGGCGCATATAATCTTGAAATCTTGTATTAAAGATCTTTAAAATTTAAATCCTTTAAACAGTATTAACGAATTCTCGAAATTGTCAATTAAATAGGAACAAAAAACTAATGAGAGCTTTCGCTTTAATACAAGATTTCAAGACTCACCGCGCCGAAAACTCTCATTAGCTTTTTGTTCCTATTTAATTGACAATTTCGAGAGTACGTTAATATCACAGATTTCTATAGAAATATAGAAATCTGTGGTTAATATTGTTTAAAGAATTTAAATTTTAAACTTATAAAATTGAAGAATTCTGTGAATTTATTCGACAGTAATAATTATCTGAATTAATTCGGTTAATTAGTTAATCATTAAGCATTATTCTATGATTTAAGTTTACATAAACTTTATATATAATAAACTACTAACTTTTAACTTTTTTCTTGCAAGATTTATAATTTAAAAAACATGTAAATCTTTTTATTTAGAATAATAGATAAATCCGAGACGTCTTCCGAGGGATCTTTCGAGTCCGTGCAAAATTGTAAATTTCATCATTTATACATAAATTATAAATTATTATACATACGTGTGTGCCATACCTAATTATAAGATACACTTTTTGATACCTGATAGATCGAGTCGGCCCTCTTCGCGGGATTGTATATCCCCGTGAGCAGCGAGAGATCCTTAATGGAACCCGAGATCACTTGATGCTCCCCCATGACGCGCACCTTCAGCAGCAATTCCGTATTCAGTACTATGCAATTCGAGTTGACGTCGTCCATGTCCTCGAGCAGGATGATATCCGGCTTCTCCACGTGCAGATTCACCGTCAACATCTTGGGCGCCGTGGCGGCCGGCTGCTGCTGCTGCTGCGCCGGCCTCTTTCTCGGCACCATCGACTCGCTTTTCGAGGCGGACGCCGCGGGGGGAACGGCCGCCGTCTTGCTCGCGGTGTCCACGTCGAAGAAGTCCTTGATCTTCATGAGGTAGTCGAGGGACACGATGATGCTGAAGGAGAACACCCGCACGTCGGCGAACGTGTCGTTCGGGCTCTGGCGCACCGTCACGTCCAGCATGCTCCTGGCGTTGTACTTGGCGTGCTGATCCTTGTCGAGCAGATGATCCTCGCTCGCCGGCAACGCCGGCACGCCGCTGGTCCGCTCCATGATGCGCACCAGCGAGCCCTCCCGGCTCTGCCGCATGTCGTCCAGCGTGCAGTTCATCAGCAGGATCGACGTGGCCAGCAGCCCGTCCGCGAACACGCGACCCTTCACTGCGAAGTGCGTGAGGCTGAAGCGGGCGAGCCCGTGCTCGGGCAGGTGCAGCGGCGACGTCTGCGACTGCAGCAACTTGGAGCCGCCGGTGAAGAGATTGATCACCAGACTGTCCATGATGAACTCGAACTTGACGGACGTGTGAGCGTGCCGCTCCTGATGCGTGTCCGCCGACGGCGCCTCGCCCCGCGACGCGTCCGCCTCGTACTTGTACGCCGGTTGGATCTTAATTAAACAGCGAAACGTCATCCGGTATATACGTATATTCGGTTAATAATTATTAAACATATTATCGCAACGGTCATTTACCTCTGCGACGTACTCGCACTTGACGGCGGACGACGCGGCTTGCGCGGGCTTCGCGTCCTCGAAAGTCTCGCCCAGATTCTGCTCCAGCACCTTCAGAATCGTAGCGTAGTCCTCTTTGCTCAACAGCAGATTGATCCTGTTCATCCTGCCGGACATGTCGATGTCCGGAATAGAAGTGAACCAGGCGGTAGACAGATTGCGCTTCATCAGCAGCGTGAACGTTACCGGCTCCAGCAGCATCACCTCGTTCTCGCTGGTGAACTTCTCCATGTTCAGTCGTACTCGGGACAGCTTCAGGTTCTGCAGCTCGATTTTCATTTCGTCCACCACGGGGCACTCCTCGCTTTCCTCGTCCATCTCTAGCTTCTTGAAGACGTTACACACCTGCTCCGTAGAATTTTATATAGACGTACTTATTATCTCTTTTTTTTTTATAAATAAGTTATATTTAAATTAAAATTATGTTTGAAAAATATTTAAATTTATATTTTAGTTTCATTCTTCTCAAGTATTTAAAAATGTTGATCTTTTACTCTAAAATGTAACCATCTGCTTGTTAAAGAATTACGTCCACATAATTATATAACATACATTTCACAAAAATACGTAATAATAAATTAATAATAATAATAAATAATTATTAATAATAATAAATTAAATGTTAAAATTCTTGAAAATTGAAAATATGTAAAATTCATATGATAAAATAGATTTATGTATATACGTTTTTAATTTTAAAAAATTTCTAAATTTTTCAGAGCTAAAATTGATTCGCAGCTCGGAATAAACTTTATCATTCTGTACCATGAGATTGCCCATGTCTAGCATCAAGCTGTGCTCGTTCTTGGAGTTCATCGGCACGTATATGACGGGCGCCTTGATCCTAACACTCAGCTCGATGCGCGAGGCGCTCTCTTGGACGTCCTTGATGTTCGTCTTCGCGGCCTCCGCCGCCGCCGCCGAGGCGTCCTTGATAGCCTTCTGCGCCGCTTGAAAGTTGTTCAGGAAATTCATGACGCTGGTGACGAACGCGTTCAGGAAGACGATGCGATGGCAGCCCATCGTCACCTTGACGGACATGTTGTTCTTGTTCCTCTCCCATTGCTCGATGTTGTACATCACCGCTTGAATCTGAAAATAAAAGATTTGCGATTTGCTTTTGAATTTTAAATAACTACAAAAAAAAATGTAAAATGATAGGTGTGTGTAGAATAGGGCTGGTGATTTGCTTCGAAGGCTTCAGACGTTTAAACTTCAAAGCTTCGGCATTAAAATCTTCGAAGTCTTTCGAAGCTTCGAAGTTTCGAAAAATACATTCGCGCAAATGAATTTATTCAGAAAATTTGCAAATATTGTAAATAAAAAGAATTAATATATATGCTCAAAACATATATACATAATTGTTTCTAAAAAATTTGAAAGTATTATAATCTAAAATTATTAGAAATTAATAATTAAACATAATACATATGTAAATAAGATAAGATAATGACCAATAAAACATCAAATTAAGAAAAATAAAAAAATAAAGATAAATTTACTCTTAAATAAATGAACAAAAATATAATAAATTAATATAATTGTTTTGGCGTCATTAAATCTTCCTCAGTCTTAAATCATAAAACAATCTTGAGAGCAGAAAATTTAAAATCGTAAAATCAATAAAAGTTATTTATTTTTTAATTAAATTTGCACAAATGTATTTTTCGAAACTTCGAAGGCATCTTAAACTTCGAATATTCGAAATAAATAAAAAGTAACAGTCCTAGTGTAAAAGCGTCTACCTGCAGAGACTCGGTGCCCTCCACAGCCACGATATCCTTGTACATAGAAGCAGGATTGAGATCCTTGATGCTGATGGAGGCCAGATCGGCGTTCACTTGCGAATACGAGGACTTGCTGAGAAAACTGGCGCTGACGCCCTCGATGTAGAGCGCGGTGATGTCCCGGGCGGCGCTGGAGATCTTCAGATTGATCGAGCCGATCTTGGCGCTCACCTTCAGATCGATGCACTCGATGGTTTGTCTCTTACGTCGCCCGGCGGGTCGGAATCTCTGCCTCTGCAACTGCTCCCTGAGAAAGCCGGAAGTCTCCTCTTGGATGGAGGTCAGACGGGCCGGCCGAGAGCGCTCGACCTCCTTCCTCTGGGCACCCTCGAGCGAGTTCATTCGGTCCTGAATATACGTGCCGAATCGCAGCAGCTCGATGAGCGCCTCCTGGTGCAGCAGCGTGTCCAGCGACGTGAATTCCAGCCGAAGCAGCTTCACGACGGAACCGTGGCGCGTGGTGAACTCCGGCGAGCGCTTGTTCACGTTCACGTACCGCACGACAATCAGGTACTCGTCCCCGCCGGCCGACATCGGCGTGTTGACCATGAAGATCTCCTGATCCTCGTACAGCTGCCGCATCTGCACGCCGCCCAGCCGCAGTTGCACCACCTGATCGTACGTACGTTGCAGCAGCTCTGCCTCCAGTTGCAGCACTTGGATTCTGAGAGAAACGAGTAAGAACGTTATTATTCCTAAAAAATTTGAAAGTATTACAAACCTGAAATATTACAAATTAATAATTAAACATGATACATATGTGAATAAGGAAAGATAATGATCAATAAACATCTAACGAAGCTCGTTGGAGCTAACCAAAAATTTTATTAAACTGTAGGATAACTGAAACACGAAAAGCATGCGTTGCAAACCAGGGCTGGTGATTTGCTTCGAAGACTTCGACACTCGAGCTTCGAAGATTCGAAGCGTCGGTATTAAAATCTTCGAATTCCTTCGAAGCTTCGAAGTTTCGAAAAATACATTTGTGCAAATGATAAATTTATTCAGAAAATTGACAAAAATATTGTAAAAGAATTAATATATTTACGAAATTATTCCTAAAAAATTTATAAGTATTATAATTTGATACATGTGTAAATAAAAAAAGATAATGATCAATAAAACAATCCAATTAAGAACATTCAAATTTTTTATGTATTTTTCAAAACTTCGAAACTTCACCTTAAACTTCGAAAGATCGAAATTAACGTCGAAGCTTCGAATATTCGAAGTGAGTAAAAAGTAACAGCTCTATAGCAAACCTCATGAACTCCGCCGCATCGTCCTCTCGCTGTCTGGACACCGAGAGCGTGAACTCCTTCATCTCGAATTTCATCTCCAAGTCGGTGGTCTGCCTCATCGGCGCGGCGGCCGTCTCCTGCTGCTGCTGCTTCTTCCTCTTGTCGGCGATGCTGGATATCGTGGTGCCGAGCTCCTTCAGCGACAGCTGCGAGATGGACTTGGAGAGAGAGATACGCTGCAGCTCCGTGGATTTCTCCTCCTCGGGCAACGGGATGCTCTGCGCGATCGAGAGCGCCTGCAGCAGCCGAACATCCGTAATGTTCACGGCGATCGACGGCAGGTTACCGAGGAGCCGTAATTTCGGCAACAAAGGATCGTCCGTCACCAGGCACTTGTGGAACTGAATCTCCAGTGTAGTCGGATGGAGCAACGTCAGGGAGCTCTCGGTACTTGCCAGGGCCGATCGCCACTCTTCGTTCGGCAGCGAGACCAGCACCTGATGACAATAAATGTTAAGAATGTAGCTGTTTGTTGTAAGTAAACATAGAATAATATAGAATATAGTTATAGAATAATATAATATAAATAAACACAAAATAATATAATCGTTTTGGAGAAATTATTTTCATAAAATTAAGTATTATCGTAATTTTGTTGTTGTGTACAATACATTTCATGGTCTCATATAACACAAATATATACATTTCTCTATTTATCTCTAGTATTCATTAATTTTCCATGTAATATTTATGACTTCCAATTTTTTATCTTGTGCATAATATCGATTAATTTACAGTAAATGGCATATTATTTTATGTTACGTTATAACTTATAACTTTGTAATATAATCGTTATAGAATAATATAGAATATAGTTATAGAATAATATAATATAAATAAACACAGAATAATATAATCGTTTTGGAGAAATTATTTTCATAAAATTAAGTATGATCGTAACTTTGTTGTTATATACAATACATTGCATGATCTCATATAACACAAATATATACATTTCTCTATTTATCTCTAGTATTTCTTAATTTTCCATGTAATATTTATGACTACCAATTCTTTATCTTGTGCATAATATCGATTAATTTACAGTAACTGGCATATTATTTTATGTTACGTTATAACTTATAACTTTGTAATATAATTGCTATTAAAATTCTCATTACCTGAAAGTTGACTATTTTCAAAGCGAATTTGTCGTAGCTGTGCTCCCTCAGGTACAGCATTACTTCCTCCTCGCTCTTGCCCATGCTAACCAGCTGCCTAACGCTAGCGCCAGCCGTGTCGCTCTTGCCCTTCTCCAGGGAATGCATCTTCAGACTGCCCAGATTCACGACGATCAGCGCCTTCGAGTCCTCGTAGAAGCCGCCGTGCGGTATGATGAGCTGCGACGCCTGCATATCCACTTGTATGTCCAACACCGAATGCTTCTCTATGGCGTACTCCAAGCCGAGCGCCGACATCTCCTTAAGGCCCTCAAACTGCTCCGCCGCGGCCATTTGCAGTTGGCTTAGCGTCGAAGAGTCTTGCACCTGGAAAACGTTCATTCACGTCAAAAAAAAAAAACGGCTCGCAAGAATAAAAAAATTATAATCAGATAAATTCGCGGAAAATTCTAATCTAGTTGATTCAGAAAAATTTTCTCATTTCAAAATTTTCCACGCAATCCAATCTCGAATTCTCGTGAATTTAAGAAGATGAAGTACCTTGAACATGTTGACCAGCTCTATGATGGTTTGCGCGTCGTAGATGATGTCGACGGAGCGGGACTTGACGATCACACGATCGCCGCACAGCCGGTCGAGTGGATTCTTCTCGTAGGAGACCGACAGCAGGGCGCTGTCGGAGCTGCCGCGTTCCGGATTGAAGAGCGAGGGCACGCGGCCGCGCTGCGTCGCGCCCAGCAGCTTCATGTCGCTGATAGAGGCGGTGACGAGGATCGCGTTCGCGGACGGCCGCGACTTGAAGCCCGCCCGCACGCCGTGCAGCTGCAGGTCCAGGATGCACGGGTGCTCCTTGTCCGTGTCCAGCAGAGAGATCTGCAGACCGTGCAGGAGGAAACGCGTGTCCATCATCTCGAACGTCTCCGGGAAATGCGCGGGCGCGCTGTTCTCCTGATAGTCGATCGCCCGGTAGAGCTTCTCCTTCTCCTGCGGCGTCATCGCCTCCTCGAATCTAAGCATCAATATTGTTAACACTACATTATTTTCGTTTGAAAATCAATTTTATAGAGTAGCTGAAGTGCTTAGGAACCTTTAAAGTATTCAAAACATCCTAAAACTATCTAAAAATTCGACTTATTTGAAGCGTTTGACAACAAACCGGCGCATGATGGCCGCGGCCGAGTTGAGATCCTTCGTCTCCTCGACCTGCGAGCTGTTCCACAGGAAACCGAACCAGCCACGCTGCGCCTTCAGGCTCTTCTCCCGCTCCGCCAGTCTCTCCACCTCCATCTCGATCTGCTGCCGGATTATGACCAGGTTGAAGATGTCCAGCTTCGTCTCGCAGTCCGTCAGTCGTTCGTTGATATCTTTCGCCAGCTTCCTCGCCGTCAGCTTCGTCTGATAGGCCTCGGCGTAGGCGCGGCAGGTGTCGCGGTGCAGCTTCATGTGGTCCCAGTTCCAGTTGCGACGGCACCGTCGCACGGTCTCCTCGAGGACGCAGGTGTACGCGAAGTGCCACCACTCCTTGTAGTGACCGCGATACGACGTCAAATTCGGCCGGTACTTCCGGTACGGCGCGGCCTTCCGCGCCTGATCCAAGCCCTCACCCAACCGCACCAGAGTCTGGTACTGACGCTTCGTTAAGCCAATCCGTAATTTCTGCATCTCCAGGTCCAGCCACACCTGCAAAAAGAAAACGCAACACATAAAATGATTCAATTTACAATAATAAGTTAAACCAGATCGCTAGTAAACACTGAGAGCAAGATATTTTATTAAATTTATAATAATAAGTCTAAATATTTTTAAATTGATAAGTATTTGTGACTATAATTGCATGGTAAAAAAAAGTATGGTTAAGGGCATTATTTTTATAGCTATTATAATGTTAGTAATAATAACCTTATATGTATAGTCCTACCAAATATGAAAAACAATTAACTATAAATTATAATAATTATAATAATTTTAAATATTAATATAGTAAAATATCAAAATATGTATGAGATAAATGAGATAAATATTTTTATGTAGTAAATGCAACTGCAATTATATTATAGTAAGTGTAACTGTTTTCTTAACATTGCTTACTATTTATATTGTAATAATAACTAAAAATTAAATAAGCAAAAAAATAATTATATCAATCATAACCATAATGCATCGTTAAAGAAACTATAATTTGCATGGTTAAATCAATTATAATTTTATAGTTGTCCCCAAAATTTACTACAAATTATAGTTAAATTATTAAATTATGGTTATTCCAACTATATTTTTCTCTCGGTGAATAACATAAATAAGTGGAGAAGAGGTACAGACTAAATTTTGGTGCTTAATATTCCTAATTTCTATGTAAATTCTAATAAATTTTCAATTTTATAAACTGCGTGTCAATTACTATCGAAGTACTTGAAACGCAATCATAAATTAAAGCTAAAATAGCAATATCACAATTGAATTGATTTAAATTAGTTTGCAGGTGTGAAGAAAAGTGATAAACAGAGTGACAAGTGTAGATCTTACCTTGGGGATGGTGTAGTCGCTGCCGTCCGACTCGGGCTTGGGGTTGAGCCTGAGCTTGGACTTGACGTTGATCGGCCCCAGCAGATACTGGTAGCCCGTGGGCGTGTAATCCATGGTCGCGATGCCGCTGCAGAAGAGAGTGGAGTACGTGGACTGCGGGCTCTTGCTGTACTGCTCCACGCTTGTGTTGAGATAGGCGGCCAGCCCGTCGAGGCTGCACAGCTTGAAGATCTGCGGAATGGCGTACATGTCCTTCAGATTGCCAGTGGTCTCCCAGGAGTCCGTGCAACTCTCGAGGATGAAGGTGTTTAGGGTGAAGCCGACGGAGAACGGGTGCTCCTTGAAGGTCACGTGGTCCTCGTAACGCACGTGTATCCTCTTGATCTCCACGTGGATGTTCTTGATCATGCGAGCGACCAGCTTCTCGACCATCGAGTCGTCCAGCTTCTCTTGCGCTGCACGAGTTCGACATTTTTAAATCCGTGTTTAAGACGAGGAAAAATAGAGATTAAACAGACACCTCCGCACATATTTTTGTAAGCTTAATTTTTATGAAAATTATAAATATTTAAAATAACTTGAGAGCAAAGCAATACCAAATTGAATATAAATTTTATTGAATTGAATAAAATGACAATTTTATACGCTGTCACATCGCAATTGTGAAAAATTTAGATTTCCATTTTTATGAAAAAAAATGTAAATGTTCAGTTTCTACCTTTTAGATCCGCTAATTGCTTCCTCTTCTCCACCCTCGCGAGCTCCGCTCGCTTCGTTTCCAGCTGCGCTTTCGTCTCCTTCTCTTCATTGTACGAGACTTGACTCGTAGGCACTACCAGTATGAACAGCTCCTCGACTATCGCATCGATCTGGCCATTCCACATATCTTTGAACGGGATCTTCAGTATCAATTTTCCTGAAAGCGTTTTATTGCAGAGTAGTAATTTCTCTATTATCTTCCTCGTGTTATACCGCGATAGTAAGTATTTTGTATCATTCCACAGATTCCATGGATTCTGTTACAATTTGTATATAATTAAATGAGTGACAATTTTTATACCTAATCGACCGTACTCCAATCTCACCGGAAGATCCAACACGTCCAACGCAGACTCTTTTATCAACAAGTCATTTAACACGAGATCGCCTGAAAGCAAACGAGTTTGTTACATAAGTCAGCTATCAGTTTTGTCATCGAGTCATTACTAATAGGATCATCTGAGCGCACTCCTACCTCCCCAGAGGCTGACTTTAAGCTGTGTGTAGTCCAGGTTCTCGATGTACTCGCCGATCACCTTGTTCAGGAGCTCCGCAACAATCGACTCGAAGACCATTTTGACGCCTGTCTTCCTCTCGTTCCTTCTCAATCAAATTCCGTAGCCTCTCCGTGTCGCGACACTATCGTACGGCTCTTAAAATAAACATATTTATGTCCAATAAGTTATGGTATAACTAAACTTTAAAAAAGAATCTTTGTGCACTCGAAGATGAGACTTTTACTATGTTTAACTTTATAACTTATAATATTTGCACGACACTTAGTGCTTACTATATCTGATACAGCCGCTATCAAATATTTATCAAACGTTTTATCAAATGTTCAAGTTTATCGATATGCTTTTAATATTAAAAAATATTGACAGTAATACTTCAGTTAACTAAAGAAAACTGTATTTTCTAATCGGCGCACAAAATGCCACAGGTAGTGTATGTACATTGTATTCAAACCCTTTTTTTTTTAATTACACAAGCGACTGAAAGAATACTCTTTGCTCCGATAAGAATTTATCCCTGAATATTATACCACCAGAATTTACACTCTGACGCATCGTGTACGCCCTGACAGCTTAAAATTTATCTTATCATTAGAACAAAGATAAACACATTGACATCAGCGAATATAAGTATATAATATAATTACATTTGCCGTGCCGTGTGTGCCTTAATTAACGGATAGATTAAGCCCCAGCAACTGGAGCTCCAGCGAGAGCGTCTTTCTTACATTCAGCAGCACAGGTCGTTTCAAGGAGGGGGAGACGGAAGAGGGGTTCACTGCTCCACGCCGCGCTGAAACAAGACGAGCGTCAGCTGACAGGTCTGATCACTTTGACCGGCTGATCTCGAAATTTTAAACGTTTCCTTCGCCACGAAATCTGCAAATTACGTCCTATTCTACGCGGCAACGAGAGGCGAGGACGGCGGCATGGTCGGACCACGCGACAATGTCACGCCGTCACGTCGCCGCGAGGTGTGCCACGTACTTTATTTTTTTTTTTTTTATTTACCTCTCAGCTCTCGTCGGAACACGCAGCGGATTCGACGGGCGCAAAGAAAAACCGCGGAGCGTATAATGACGTTGCGCGGCCGCGCGAGCGGACGACGACGAGGCTCGTCGCCGAGGACGGGCGTTCGCTACCGTCGCGCGGTACCCACGGCGGACATAACCTTGAAGCGCCTCGGGTTCGCCAGCCGTATAGCCGTTCGCGTCTTTTTCCGTCGGGTTACGTCATCCCCGATGCTCGCGGGAGCGCGCGATCCCGACCCGCCCCGGGTCAACCAGGGCGCGGTTGACTCGTAATTCCGTTTCGATCGCCCGCGACTATATACACCGCCGGTCCAACCAGCCTCACGCACAGCGTCGCCCGCGAATCTGTGTTTACGTTTACGTGCGCGACGGGATTGACGGGAAACACAGGCGAGGACTGACGACAGTGACGACACTGTGGAGCACGCCGCCCGCGCCGCGGCATCGAATGAGCAAAACGCGCACCGTATTGTGTATTCACGTCCGGCAGTCGTTACGTCATCCCCGACGTTACACTCGGCGGAGAAATTCGCGCGCATCAGCTGACGGTCGCGGGCGTCGCGGCTGCACGACGGCGAGTCGGCGCCGACGTCTGGCGAACGGAAGTAGCGCCAAGGTCACGCGATGTTATCATTTCCGAGAATTTCCTATAATCGCGCGTGCTGTCAAACTCTGCCAGAGCCTCCGTCAGTTTCGCAGGATTAATTGTTAAATAAAGCTCACTTCGTTGAAAAAAAAAGAAATATGGATTTGTTCTTTTTAGCTGAAAACACTTTTCAGTGTTTATTCCTTTTTTTTCCTCCCAATGTCTATATGTTTCTAATAATTCATTTTTCTCGTGTATCAAAATTCTACTTATTACCATTTAATATAAATTAATTTTTGTATAATTATAAAAACAATACTTAATGGACACTTTTATCAAGTTAATTTAGTTTTACGATATAGAACTAACAATAAGATAGAATTTAATTAAAATTTTGTGTATATAATTAATTATATACATTTATTATCATAATTTATTTTATATTTAAATATGCCGTATATTAAATTTATTATTACAATCGTTAAATACTATATTATACACTTAAACATGCCTTTAAATTCATTATTATATGCCTATTAAATATATCTATTAAATTTATTATTACAATAGAAATTATTACAATAGTTAAATACTATAGTAATTAAATATATTTTTATAATTAAGTATATGTACATAGCAAAAATTATTAATACTTAATATAAATACTAATAATTTGTACTCATAAATGAATTTAAAAATTATTTCTATACAGATATCATAATAACTAATTTTGCGTAAATAATTAATAACGGATTTTGCATGCCATTCTCCTGGTGTAAAATATCGCCATACCGAGCTTTGGGAATTCCATGAATTTCCATCATATGTCATTTTTTATTAATTATGCAAAAATAATAAATAAATGTGATCTTTTACTGATTTGCTTTTACTCTTGCTGACTGCCGATCACGATAAATTTCATTACAATTGCACTTTTTTAAATCTTAATTTATTATTACAATAACGCCACAATCACAGTCATGTCGCGACATTAGTACTTCCGCACAGTATTAGTGCGTGTGTCATATTACAGATGCTAAAATAAATTAATATTCGATAAAGCTCGAAGATTGACGCTTGATGATCTTTAAAATATTGATGTTGAATCTGCTCATCATTTAATTCGTTTTACTGTACTTCTGATAATTCATAGAATTTTTTGTAAATACATAATTTGCTAAACGACGAGATAAATGACACTTATTGTTATTTTATTTATGCGTAAAATAACAGTTATTTTTAGTCCAAATTGTTTCTGGCTTTTTATATATAGGAAGCATAATGCATTATAATAATCGTTATATGTATATTAAAATAATTTACATTATTACAATTTTAATTTTTATTTTATCACAATATTTTAAAAATATATATTACTTAAATTTTATTAGATAAAAATTAAAGATAGTACTACTTATTTAAGTTTTATTTTTAACGTCTTAAATTCCGATTTTTGACTTTATGTTGTCTGTATTTTTTTTTTAATGGATAAATTCTAGTTTTGTTGGGTTTAATTCGCGCATCCCCTACAAAGGTATAAGTAAGCTCCTTCTCTTTTCTTAGCAAATAAATTTATTAATAAATACAACGAGCACCGCGAGAAGAAGAGAGTGTGGTCCAAGGCACAGATTCCTCAGGTCGTCCCGAGGGAAAGGCGAGAAAGAGCCTCCCTCTGCTAATCCAGCGTGTCCTTCCCAGTTCTTGGCAGCAGAAACGAGAAGAAACCGCAGGCTGAAAATCGATCGAGTTATATCACTGTATTCCGAGTGGATTAAGCTACTTATATCCCCCACATCTCCATCTTCCAATATGCATATTGGAATCCAATACCGTGGATCCCATGAAACGCAGGGAGATTTCAATAAGCCTTGGCGAAGAAACAATTGTAGAGTAAGCAGACAAATTAGTGTTAACCCGTTAAAGGACTCTCTTTTGAATGGTTTTGTTTAACACGAAATTTGAAAACAATTGCGTTCTTTTTTCAAAAATTTTACATTGAGAAACACATTTTGCTTTAATTTTGCCTTTTATTTTCAGAAGATATAAAACTTTAAAAAAATTCGCTTGGTGCGAAATCGCACCCAGGTGTCCTTCACGAGTTAACATCGCTCAATATTCAAATTCGTGAAACACGACCGAAACTCAATCTATTTTTATAGAAACACGACAATCGAGAGGAAGAGTTTAAACTGGATCCTGATCAGAGTGTTGAATCTTAATAGAAAGCTCCTCTTACCGAAGAGAAACGCGGCGAACAGTATGATGGGGATCACGCAGGCTAAATCGATCAGATAGCCGAACACCAGATTGCCGACCAGGGCGCCCAGACGGCCCATCGTCAGCGACAGAGCCGCGGCCATCACTCTGTAAACGTGGTGATTACCGGAATTAATAAATCTCAAATCGAAGGGGAGAATTTGAGATACTCGAATCCGCTGTTCGCCCACCTGAGATTCGTCGGGAACATGTCGACGATCACGCAGTAGACTAGAGAGATCCCGAGGGACGTGAGGGCCTCGAACACGCACGAGAGGATCAGGTTCTGCGTCGAGTTCACCACGTAGTAGAAGCCGACCGTCACCGCGCCCGAGACCACCAGCGACACGACTGAAAGCACAAGTAGCATCTCATTTAATTCTATTAGAATTTCATTTAATTATTTTGTGATTATAATTATACATCTCAAAATTAGAATCTTGACTGCAGAGTATCCAGAGATCTCTAATTAGACTAATTATTGTAGGATCTAATCTAATTTCGTTATGAAAATTGAAATTTAAATGGGAGAATCTGTATTTGTCTATATAGAGCTGCATATATATACATACAGGGTGTTCATAAAGTATCGGACCTCCCTCCCTCTATCTCAGAAAATAGCCAGGGAAATTTCCTAAAAGTTTTGTATTTAAAGTTTTTTTATCCAGTTAGTATTTTCTGAGATAGAG